CCATTTTCAAGTTCCTCGTACCCATCTTTTCGCGCTCTTTGTGCCCTTCAAGGAATGCAGAGAGACTACAAAACAACGCAACGAGCTCTACACCATGCCGTCGGGACTGGTATGCATGGCGCAAACATGTTGTGTGTGATCTCGCAGTGTTCTGCATTGCACTCCGTTCGCTGTTCCGTGAGCTCAAGTTTGGTCGACACGTGGCGTCGTTGCGGCACCATTGGTGTCGTGTTTTCCGTGTATTTTCTTATACACAGTATTCTACGAATAAATGCCTCTGTGTAGCCGCTGGTGCCGAGGTCGCGGATTACGTTTTTCCTTCTTTCCTTCCGCAGCTGTTGTGACAATTGGCGGTTAGATTATCGGTTATTTATTTACTTATTTTAGTTTTCTTGTTTAGCTAGTTTTCTGTATTCTTGCCCAAGAAAGGTGATCCAGATTTTTTTTTTTCTCGTGGGAATGACCATAGGTATCTGCGTACATGGTTTCAGCTCCACATTTCCAAGTTGTACGACTCGGACTGCCCTGCCGACGGCCCCTATTCTCTTTCTGCTCTAGCAGCCATGACCGTCACGTTCTTCCAAACCTTCTCCTCCTACCTACTTCTAAACTATTTTCTCCACTCTCCCCTTTCCCTTCAAGGGACTGAGCCGTGGTCTCGCAAGGAAAGATAGTGTCTTTTTCTTTTTCTTCAACCACACATTCATCCATTCAGGGGAAGCTTGCATGCAGTAACTGGTTTGGAAAGCAGGTAAGGTTCGCGGAAAGTCACCTCATCTACCCTGATTTGTTCCGGGTCAACGCTTTCGAGGTGCGCCAAAAGAGGCGACAACACGAAAGTCATACTTCGAATTCTTTAGGGCTGTTGGCTCCCCTCGTCAAAAACTCTTTGGACACGCCTGACTGACTGACGGCCTAGGAAGAGCTGTCGGAAATCGAGGCAGCTTGATTTGTTCGACGTGCCACGAGAGGCGCTGAATAATTAGCCGAGAGGTTGGGATCCGTCGTCAGGTATGTTTCCCACACTCTGTGGTGCTTTCAAGTCTTCCACTCCCCCAGGCCCTAGCCTGCCTAGCACTGCAGGCCCTATTCTGCACGTGCGATGCAACGTTATTGCACTGTGCTGTGTTGTGCGTATTATTGCATTATGACCTACGTTGTGTTTCTCTCTCGCCGTGTGACGAACTGAACGTGCATCCTTTCTATTTCCTGGGTTGAAAAGAAGGCAGTGTTTGACTTTCTCTCTCTTTCTCGTTTTTTTATCTTTATTCACTGCGCCGTGCTCCCTGCTGGGCTGCAGAAATTAGGCGCCTTCTAACCACTACCCCCACCATTTGGGGGACAGAGATGAAGACGACAATTTCTTTGGACTGCCTTGGACCGAATGGACATGCAGTCTGTCCATTTACAGTGATCTGCAAGGCGGCTTTCCTGTAAGGTTTATTTTCTAGCCAAAAACTATCGTTCACAGACTGCTTTTCTTCCTCATTGTGTCTTTACCTCTTCGAATTCCAGCGAATGCACGCGAGCACGCGAGTACAACAAAATGTCACCTCTCCAAATTCCAGCAAAGGCACGCGAGCACAAGATCTCAAAAAGGTGAATGGCAAAAACAAAAAGAGCGAGAAAAGCAGTCTGTGAACGAGAGTTTATGGTTGGAAAACTAACCTTACAGAAAAGCTGCCTTGCAGATTATTGCAAACTGTCTATTGTTTTCTCTTGCAGAGAATTTTAGGAAGACCCCGGCTTAAAACGCGAGCACCGAGACGCTCTGAACCAGCTCTCAGAAGCTCTCATCAAGCTTCCATGATGCTACTTTTAGTGTGTAAATAGTGCACATAAACGTTGCTCTTATCAGTCCCGGCTACTCTGCTTGACTTCTACCTGAGACTTGGCTAGCTCGTTCGAACCACGACCGGCTTTATAAATTTATAAAGCCGGTCGTGGTTCGAACACATCACGAGCAAGCAAAAGGGCACGGAGTTGTAAAGATGAAAATGTGCAACATCACATCGCTTTTATTACGTGACATATTCGTTCTCCGCCGCATTCGCCCGATCGTGTCCACATATAACTTTCCCGTTTTATAGCGACGACACGCCGTTGATTGCGGTCACGTCATTGAATGTCATTTAAACAGCGGTTGCATTATTTATTTGCAAATTACTTCTTCATAAAGTATGGTGAAGTAATTTATTATTTGGCCACCTGAGGAGCTTTCTGACTTGACTTATTTTTTTATCAAGACTTGAATATAATGTTAAGTTTTATTTGGTTGACTCTGAGCATTACCTTCGCAACAGAAGTACATCTGTCAGCGACAATCATTCTTGACCTCTCCCAGTGCAAGTAGGTCCGTTCAAGCTACGTGATGAAAACCAGTTTGCTGAACTATGTCTTATATGACATGTCCCTCAAATGTCGGTCTCTGCATTTTTTATGAATCCAGCCGTCTTTTGTAAATTGTCTACTGGCAAGTTTTTTAAATTTTGTTTTGTTTTTTTTAAAACTGGTGGTCTCAGACAAGCTTATTACGCATCTTCTCACCACTGGATAGCCGTTGTTACGCGCGGCGCCTGGACCGACGGGGGAGGGCCGCGTTCTTTGTTCATCAAACAAGTCACCGAAGGGCTGCCAGCCGGCTGTCCGCCGTGTACTGTCCATCTTAGCCGGGAAGTAAGGTGGCATTCCGACACCATAAGACGTTCAACGAGACGACCACAATGGTTTCTTGGTGTCACAGGTGCAGTGTGGTGGCCACGCCCCAATCAAAGACCTTGACTTGAGCGAGTGTGAGCGGCGCCGTCAGAAATGGTGTGTGTGTCTCGTGATTCAAATGTGCATTCTGGACCCATTCACTAATTAAGTCAACACGTACACTTTATAGTGAGCCACCCAGCTCATTCGCAAGAGACCTCTCGCCCTGTCTGTACAGAATGTAGTAAATACTCTGTTAAGTTTGCCATCTTACTCCTGAGTGCACATGCGTTTTCTTTTCTATCTCTCTACACGCCCTTTCTTGCCCCTATTTCTCAACCGTCAGTGCTAGGCAGCAAACCGGATGCCAATATATGGTTAATCCCCAAGCCTTCCTTTCTCTCTCTTGCCATCTTACTGCCTTGGCATCTTCATCCCGGGTATCCAATGTCTTAAAAGGCCGGTACAAACAGACAAGTTAAAGAATAAAACAGATGGTGAATATTTTCTGCAGCATGTTCAGACGCTGCATATAAGTGGTCATCCTCGAAAATTATCAACTTTAACACCGCGGACAGGTGCTGATATACCCTGAGTAAATTCGAGCATGTATTACGCCTCGACGCTTTTAATCTTCATTAAACTTCTCCCTTTCGATTTCATCCTTCGGGGTTTTGTGTAGATCTTCATCTAACGCCTAACCTCTATGTCCTTCCTCATTTATTCCTCCTCCTCCCTTCATCTAACGCGCTGCATTCGTGCTGCACTGCTACCACTTCAATTCTTCTTTATGTACGCCCTGTTTCGGGCACAATAATAGGCTGTCATCTTGGACTGATAATGATGCCGTTTTTCATCCGTATGAATATTCGAATTTTGCTATGGCGAACTCGCACGCATCAAAACGCTGGGCCATTACATTCAACGTCGTATCACCATAATCATAGCTAATTACGACACAAAAAACAGATAAATTGCTTCTAAGCCTAAGATGGCAGTGTCTATGCTTTACTGTAACTGTTCATTTATTTTTTGTCAATTTGTCCAATATGTCATTTCATGCAGCGGCCGCCGAACTCGTTCCGCTGTTCATAGTGGTACTCTTGGTCTCTGAAGCTGGATGAAGATAACTAAAAAGCCTGGTTTTTACTGGCTACATAAAATGTGAAACGAAGCTATAAATCACGATGAAAAAGAAGACAAATCTGTGAAAAGTCAGTACTGGCGCATAAATGGCGCGCCGATTGCGCCGATGAAAAACGTCGGCGGCGGCGGCGGCGGCGCGCCGATCAGTTCGCGTCGGCGGCGGCGGCGCGGCGAAAACTGTCGGCGGCGGCGCGCCAACTAGTCGGCGCACACCTCTAGTACTACCCATCAATCCCATGGTCGCTGAACGATGGCAGTACCAGAGTCCCCTCTAGTTAATTTTAGGAAACTCTATGGCTCTCCCCACCATACCGCCTTCACAAAAGCCAGCAGCGAGATCAGGGGCAGGGTCATTTGCGTCTCATTTTTAAGGAGCTTCGCTCATCGGTTAGATTCTCACACGGAACTGCTAGCTTTTGCAGTAGTGTACCCTTCGAGAAGCTTTTTCGAAACCACTAGCACCCGACAACCGCAAAAGCGTTCTACTTTTGGCGCTGGCTGAACAGAAAGATGTTTCACTCACTGCAACCAGAAGCGCTTACCAGTGTTGAGCCCACTTTGGCGGCAGTAAGCACATTAAAGGCAGCTTGCTTTACTACAGCGATAAAAATAAAAGAACCATGGACACGCAACCAGCACACACATAAACGACAAGAGAGACGTGATAGCTTGAGAGACGTGTTGTTTATTTATTAACCTTCCAAGCGGAAAGAGAGTTCCACTCTAAATAATTAGCCTCGCGTTTCCATGGCGTATGTAAACCAAATGAACAATCGATCCTCCGATCACAACATCAAACTCAACACGCGTGAAATACGAAACACCTTGATTTTTTTTTGCACAACGGCGAGTCACCAATAACTTTAAAAAAAAATCCAATACAGTTTCGCTCACCAGTGATCACACGCAGAAATGACGCTTCTTACACACAAACACACGCGCAACAACACACACGTTTCAATAAAAGCTAATACCACACGTTTTCCGAAACACGCTGTGCAAACACTCCCAAGGCAATGAGCAGTTGACTGAACAACAGTGTTTGAATCGCGCGTCTCATGTGTGTGCTTAATTACACTTTGCCGTGAGTTTTTTTTAATGGAATGATTATTCAGTGCTGTATCTGATGAATTGAAAGTGAGTTCACACCCTCAATGTGTAATCTTTAGAAGGTTTTTATTCGTCAGCCAGGTGAACAAGAAAAAATTCCATCAATCGATTAATACAACAAAACAAGACTTTTCGAGATTTGAGGACAAGTTCACATTAGGGGAGAATTTCATGGGCATACACAGGGTTCTTATTTAAAGAAAAAAAGGGGGGACACACCTCCTCTCCACGACCCTTGTGTCCAAACTCGCGTAGTGTTGATGAAGCTTTTAGTTCACAACTATTCATGCAAATTTTATTATTATGTTCAGCTGCTTTTGTTAATCCAGCGAAGTTCAGTTGAGTACACAGTTCTTCCAATGCCCCGAGCAATATGAGCATGCTCGGAAAATTCGAATCCACATATGCTTAAGACATGACTTCCACCAGAATTTCGTCCTGGCACAATCAAACTTCAACATGGAGGCATTTATACACCCAGAAAAACCATGTGCGCTTCAAAAACAGCAACGACGGATACACTCACTCTGCAGGACTAAGTTCGATTGAAAAACGTTTGCTCGTCACAACCTCTCAGCTTCGACCAATTTTGCATCATCAGAAAAACAATAACTAAAGATAGAAATACCAGCTATTTAGTGGCCTGCTCGTTGCAACACTTTGCATACTACAAAACAAAAAATATTTTAAATGTGGGTTAAAAATGCAACAAGTAAATAACACGTGCATACCTATGCATAGACTATATAACAAATAAAAACAAGCCTCTGTATGTACAATCTACAGGAGAACAGAACACAAGGCGCACATCAGATTGTGCTGCATCAGCTGTTCTGAAAACAATAAAAATAAAGTGAAGCTGCACTATAAAGCAATGCATCATCACACCAAGAGACTATTCTTCTCAGCCAAGTCTCTGCACTACCTGCAGCCTTGTCCCAGGCTACGACGCGGATTGAAGGCAAAAGAAAAGAAAGGCAAAAACACACCTCCTAATATCCGTTAACTGCCACAAATAACACATATATACACGAGCTGCCACACCCTCCACAAGGCCGTTTTGTTTTCTACTCAAAACTCTTCAAAGACGCAAAGGACACCCTCTGTAAAAGTCAGCATGAGATTTCCCCAAGACAGCGAAAGTACCTTCTCAAGAAAGTTTTAGCAAACAGGCTAGCATAGACGTATGCTAGAAAAAAGGATGGCAACACGGAAGCAGCAGTGCTGCTGGAGCATTGTACTCTATGTTGCGACTAACAATGTTGTTACAAGCGGCGTACTTAAGCACAATCTTGCATTCTATTGTATTCTCTTTGGGTGCGGCTAGCAAACAGAAATAAATATCTGGGGTATTACGTCCCAAAACCACGATATGATTACGAGAGAAGTCGAAGTGGAGGGCTTTGGAAATTTCGACTATTTTGTGTCCTTTAGCGTTCACTGACATCACTCAGTACATGGGCCTCTGGCATCTCGTATCCACCAAAATGCGACCGACGCGTCTTTGTTTGGATTGCGACCTTTGGGTCAGCAGCCGCTCAAACAGAAGAAAGCGGGAAGATGGCACGAAACAACGCTAGAATGAGGGGACTCAATGGCTAGGTGTTCCCATAACTAAAACTCTCTAGCAATGAGTTTGAGTTCGAGGGTTCCCATCTCGGCCGCATGTTATCATAGAAAAATAAAAAACCAGGACACTAGGAATTGAATTCCATTGCTGAAGCTACTGTACAGTTCTAATATTACGAATAATATGTGAGGTTTTATGTCCCGAAACCACCATTTAATTATGAGAGACGCTGTAGTGGAGGGCTCCGGAAATTTCGACCACTTAAGGTTTTTTAAGAGGCACCCAAATCTGAGCACACGGGCCTGCAGCATTTTCGCCTCCACCGAAAATGCAGCTGCCGCAGCCAGGATTCAACCCCGCGACCTGCGGGTCAACAGCCTTAGCCACTAGACCAACGTGCAATACACTCTTGGTAACCCTTATGAAAACTCAAAATAATGATACAGCGTTTCTTTTCTTTCCTGGCTCCCGTCACATTTATTTGCATCAGTACAGTGGACTGCTTGTGCAGCGCACCTAAGCAACAACAGCAGACCGACAGTACACTATGCGTCCAATGTTTAAAGTTCACTAGGTCTGAGAAATCTGTTTCCCAGCAGATTTGCGAATTCATTCCGTTAAGCTGCCCAGCAGGTTTCATGGTCATAAACTTCTGCTAATGACTGTAGATCTCCTGTGATAGAGCCCACGTATGCCATCAGGAGACTATGCTATCAACATTTGTGCTGCACTTAACTACAATCTTGTGTACATGGCCTGCCACTATCTCGAAGGGGCTTACTCTGTGCAGGAGATGCCAACATTGAGATGTTACGTAAAAAGATGCCAACAAGAAATTTTGAAGCGAAACAAAAGAAGAAGAAACAAGCTCGACTACAGCAAAATCAGGCTAAACAGGTTACTGCTGCTATACATATATTTTTTTATCACAGATCGCTGCCTCAAATCAATGCCTCGACTATTGCTGCTGCTTTTGCTTGAGGCACAGAACTGAACACCTCACCCTAGTATAAAGCTCTTGAGGCTATTTCGCAGAGCAAAGACTATTCCAGCCTCTTCAATTCTTATATGTATACATAATATATACTGTACATATATTTATTTTATCGTAAACCCTGCACCTGTCAAGCTACTTAGAAAGAGAAGAGCTTAAGGCATACAGATAAGAAGCCATAAACATAATGAGAACAAGCTAGACTGGCTGCTGGTTGCATTGTAATGCAGAGCACTTATATGAACTGCATAATAACACAACAAAGAATCCAGATCTCTGATGTGTTGGCAACACAAAAGAAGACCAGAAAAAGTCAGCAACGTTCGCACACTTTTGGTCTCGTCAATTTGCGCAGACGTGCGAACCAAATCTAGCTGACGTGAGCTCAGTGATTCGTACAGAAGGATGTTAGGCAAAGAGTGTGCATATGATGTTAAATAAATAAAATAATGAAGACTTATCCAACGAAAAGCCATGTACATAGCGATGTGCAATGCAACAAGAAAACTCCTAAGATGCAGGACCCAGAAGAATATGCTACCAAAAGTCGTCAGCCCCCATAAGCGCAGCAATAACACACTCTTTTGTAGTGACCCATAAAAAATCTGATGAATGATCAATTAAGGAAACGAAGAATGCAAATGAATTAGGCATAGCATGAAATGACCCTAGAAGCATTTTCTCATTGGTGGCTATATTCAGCCAGTATATAGTTACAGACAACGAAATGATACATTGTTGCTAAGTGCCTCCATTTCGCCGACAAGCTGTAAACAAGCAGCAGCTGTAAACGATGAAACTATGGTGAAAATTTGCTTTCCCAATCACAAGACGCACTATGCAAAAAATTTACTTTTCTGCAGTCAAATGTACAGTACAATTTACTGTTAGGGAAAACATGCGAGAGCGCGATCGGTGCTCCGCGAGGCACTAACTTCTGGTGAGATTTGGAAACGTAGAGCATGCGCACAGAATCACAAGGACGGTCCGTGCCCTGTGTCGTCTGCTACTTCCCGCCTTAGCGCGTGGCGCGTGCTAACGCCGGGCTATGTTTTAGTGGTTATAAGGAGGAGCCGGCTTTGCTCGTTGCATCAAGAACCAATTTTATTGTCTGTTATCAAAGGCGGGCGGCTTGTTCGAGCATTGTGCAAAGCTTACGACTAACATTTTGGTGAGCATTGACAGTGATTGGCGATGCAAGTGATGTGTTTTGTTATCAAATCAATTTCACAGAATTCCAAAGCTGGGGGCATAATTCTTTGGTGAACAAATTTTCGGTGGTGCCAACTCTTAGATGTGGCATGGCCAGGGTACCTGAGGATCAAAGGCTTTTCATAGTCAAGCTCTACACTAACCAATACAGTCAACATGCTGTCACTGCCGTGGTAAACAGGCCACTGAATACTGCGACGGTGCTCATGTGATGAGCCATAACGAACCTTCCACTGCGTCGCTCATAATCATACTGCTCTTCAGCGATGTTAAACCCCAACATTTATTATTAACAAGCATTTATGAAGATGCTTCTTAATATAACCGCATGGCTTTTCATTGTATATCACCTTTTTTTTTTTTTTTTGAAATCTCACTGCTGTGGGCCTGAATCACATCGTTTCTGAACTGGTGGATACCACAGCAAGAAATAACCTGGACCATTTTTGTGCCTGCTGATTACCAGCACACTAGGGGTGACTTGAATCGCTATGGGAAAAAACGAAAGCACTCAGCAAGTGCAGGGGCGGAAAGTATCAGACGAAACCCAACAAGCAATGCCTTTGTTCTTTTTTTATGCGCGTGCGCCACGTTTACAAATCTCGCCACTAGTTCGCGTCTCGCTGACCACGCGTTCGCGTGTTCCCTCTAACAGTGGACTGTACTGCACGTGCCCAAATGTTCATTGTGTCACTTGGGTCCACCGAAGAAGAAAGGATAGCTCATGGAAGCGTTGCTGTCACACTCGAGACTCTGAGGAGGTTAGGGTAGCCCACTTTGTAACTGAAAGCTCGTAAACATCTGCAGTGAGGATGAAAATTAGTCCAGAATCAACTTAATCTTCCATGGCTTTTTTGTTTGTGGCATTTTATTTTGTTCCTCAATATCTAGCTGAAAGGTGCTGCTAGACTTATTAAAACACCTAAGCTGCAATGCACCTTCCCAAGCACGCCAATAAGACGGAGCTAAAAGAAGAGCAAGAAATCCCACTTTAGTACCGTTCAGGCAGATATGTGAAGTGCTTGACAGTATCACAAATCAAAGAAGCGCATCGAATCACTCAGGGACTGAAGAGGTGCATAGCTGTGCTTGATGACTGATAAGTCAAGGTACAGAACCCTCCCCAGTGGCAAAGTCGACGGAATGCAGCCAACTAATCCACATTTGGCGAATGCAATGACTCGTTTAAACCCCTTGAGTGCAAATCGACAGCTAGTGAATAGTGGCTAGTAAATTATGGACAAGTATTGCCAAAACTCTGCAACTACTTCAATAATGACTATACTGATAAAAATCGGTGCTGAGTAATTTCAATAGAGTGCTGTAGCAATTAGAACAGAGTTGGCAAATACTTACAGTTTCTAAGGTCGTCATGAAACATGTTCACACAAGCAAACGGCATCAAAGTGCATATATAAAGACAAATTTTCCATTTCAAGCAGTGCAAAATAATATGACAATAAAGGCTGGTAGAGTGACAAAAAAAATTGAAAAAGCCTTGGGCTGCTAAAGATGAAGCTAGTTCGCTAAAAGCGAAGATGGCTAAAAAGCAGCAGTATGCATCTTGTTAAATACTTAAGTTACAGAGTTGACCCTTTATGTATGCTCACTATAGAATGTTATTGCACGCAGTTTGCAAATATAGCAACTCAAGACTACAATGATGAGCGGCGCATGCACTCTCACAAGGCCAGTAGTTAAAGCAACGACGCTATTAGTTGGAATGTGGCGCTCGAGAGCGACTGCAACTTCAACGAAACACACTTTCGCGTGCCCCCTTTGTACACTAGAATAATCACACACTAATGACACACACTTGAAACATTTACCACAAAGGCAACACACTAATGAGCAACATCGTTAAAATGGTACTGAGAAACCACCAATTTTAGCTATGAAGCTTTTCATTAAAAGCCACTTGACTAATTCGTATTTCTCGTTGAGGATAAGTCGATTACTAAAAGGCAACCCCTGAGCAGACACAGCAACCAGTTAAAAGCTCTTAATAAACAGACACTTTAAAATATTCACACATTGGGTTAGCACACATTTTCAAACAACTATTGCATATCCATTAGTACAAGAAGAGATTAGCTTTAAGCACTGTGTCTCTACTGCCCCTTTGTATTACAGCTGCACAAATGTGTCCCTTGGCAAACACTTCATGATCACACATAGTACATTTTAAGATAATGCTGCTAATGTCTGTGCAAAGAAGGAAAAAAAAAAGCACAAACTTGCAGATAAATGAATGTGAAATATGAAAAACGATGAACTTGCTGACTTTAACACCTAATGAGACCAGAATACTCATATTGTTCAATGAAGCCTTTCACGCGAACTGAATGGGTGCGAATGTAACTGCGTGTAAGCGTGTTGGCAAAATAAGTTAATATTCCTAGCTTCGTTGAATGTGCATGTGAGACTGACAAAAATAAAAATATTCTGCCATTAACTGACATTCTGTGTCATTTCCTAAGTTTGCGGCGAGCAGCCCGGCTGCGAGTGCGATTGGTGACTATGCTCGTGTTCTTGAAAACGTCAGGTCGAGACCACTACGTGCTGTTCATTACTTTGTAACATATGCTTACATATAGTTGCTACTATCTCCTACGCTTCTATAAACAGCTAAATATTTCTTTCTGGCAGTGTATGACGCGCACCACTCCCCGAAACAATGAATGAATGGATGGACCAACGTGACCAATGGCAATGGCTGCGGTAATGTAGCGATGAATGAATCTAGTGGTGAGGCTCAGCCTTAAATGCCAATGTCAAGTGGTTCATTAGACACACCCTGTTGAAAAAAAAAAGACTACAGAGACTGTCCCAAAATGTGCAAAACTTCTGTCAAAACAGATATCTCGTCGGAACGAGACTTTTCGTCCAAACAGTATAATTGACCAGCACACGGACATTCAGTTGTCACAATCAGCGTGCCATCATTCCCGTGAGAAAATTTAATGTCTAGCTGTTTCGTCTTCACGTCGATAAAAATCTCGCCACAGCAGATTCTGTCGCTGTGAAAATTTGCTGAAGACGTGGCAGGTGTAATCCCTCTTGCATAAACAACAAGGTTGTCATGCTTGGGTCTCATTCACACAGCCGTCAAGCACTCAGTCGCTTCATCTTCACGCACTCTGTGACTTAATCACAGTATCTGTTACAGTGTGGTGTACTGCAATAGCATTTTTTTTTTCTAAATATGAAATGCTGGCAATGTTATGAGCACCAGGCAATTCCCTCCCTTGACATGTTGTTAATTAGGAAAATACCAAGGAGAGAGCGCATCTAAACACAGCGAAACGTCACTGTTAGGTTGACACCGTGAAGGTGACTTTTGCGTGAATGAGGCCTTCTGCAACTCCTGGTCAACTCTGCTTAAATTACGCCTTGTTAAAATATTAGTGACACCAACACGACACTAGGCATTTCGAAAAACGATACAGACCAGAAGTAAAACAAGCTCGCGAGGATTTCTACTTGACAAGCTGCCCTCTACGTACATCGTCAGAAGCAAAAGAAAAGTGAGCAACACCAAACTATATCAACGCTGCCTAAGAATGCACAACCCAATGATTTCTCTGTAACACCTGCTGCCCAGAGCTACCAGGAACCGCGAGTTGAAATGGTGCCCATGAGTGACCGTTCATAAGCACAAAGGTGTGACTGCAACGTAACATGAGAAAGCAGTTGGCCTGTATCTCCTACTTTATTACATTTGTCACATGATTTATTCATGAACAAACATCATATTTATTTCGACCAATGTGCTTTCTTATATACAGTGCCACTTCAAGATAGCTTTCTGCGAACCTTTCGCACTAATTTGTGGTCATATAAAATCTCATTGCGTGCTCAACGCAGCGCATTGTGACAAGTTGTTTATTCATTCACCTTTCAATTCTTTTATTGCTTTTGCTACTCTCGGCCTTGAGTTTAGTTTTTTCTGCACAACCTATTGATGCATATGTGTAGAACTTGACAAGTCGTGCTTGAGCATAAGGTAAGCATAATTTGTTATAAACCGCACGGCCTGAAATGGTACAGATTGCAGAGTGGCCCTTAATTTACTCATACAGCTTTTGCTATTTATGTTCTGCTTAGAGACATAGAACACATTAAAGGGACGCCAAAGAGAAGATTTTTTAGCGTGTTAGTTAACCACTCACAATATGGAAAACACCACTCTTACCACGATAGACACTGCATAAGCAAAAAGCGCATGAAAGAATACAGGACGCAATGCTATTTCTAAATTTCTGAACCGAATTCCGCGTCAATGTAGATTATGACGGCATCCATTAGGTCATACACAATCCCTAATCAACAACAACAAAGAACACTGTTTTCTAAGGAACCTGCAGACTTAAACCCACCGACTTTCAGAAAATTTCACGGAGTTAATGTTCCCAAAGTACGAAAGATGCACTTTGAAATCCGCGATTTCACGTCCAGAGACTTTAAATTAAAAATAGAATTATTTGGACCTTGATTTTTTTCTCTACTAATAAATGGTGGTGAAATTATATTATTACAGTTCTGGGAGTACAATATACCAATATAATCCAGTTCATTGTTCGCTTTCTGTGACCCTTCTATGTGCTTGAAAATTGAACGAAACGCACGCTAAACATTCCACACGAAGACATTTTCTATATTCTGCTGATGTTAGTGGTCCTACTTTTGATCAGTATTTAAGCAGCTTTAATGCAATCACATTACACTACTGCACATTAAATTTTTTTATTAAAAATTTCTATCGCACAGCTGTATCAAGTGTTCACCTCAATTGTATTTATGCATTCAGCAGGCTTGACACTTTTTCAAGAATAAAGGTACACAAATTAAAAGCCTATTTGTTCAAAGCGTTCCTTTCAATGTCGCGAGCAACACGGTTCACAGTAAGTGCCAGCTTCGTCCTGTAATTAAGTCTGCTTGCTACGTTACCAGAACGGCTGAAAACGGTCAGTCACGGTTATCTCAGATCGTGACACACGATACGCCGTGGGCACGACACATAAAACCGAGACCAGATATCAATGTCATTTACCTCTCTCTTGCTTGTTGAACCATTTCAAAACGCAAACCAACGCATCAGAACCAAGCCGCAATATTTCTTGTTAGAAGGGATATGCTACATTGCATCGCAACCACAGCTAAAGTTCCTAACAGCACAGTCACACAGTATCAGAAATAAAGGCAAAAAAAGAAAGGCAAACAAGATAACCAACTGCACCTTACTTGGGCACTAATAGGCTCTTTTCAATAACTTCAATCTAGCTTTCTAGCACACTAACCTTGATAAGCGTAAGTAATCATGGCTGGCTGCATTTCTGCTCAACATTGTTCACAGCATGGGCCGATCTTGATCGCCACATGTTGACTCAATGTGCCAAGTTGCCTAGCATGCGGGAAGCATGCTAGCCACATTAAAAAATTCGAGCACAAGTGTTTCTCTGCACACAAATTTTACCTTGTAACGTGATTAAATTGCGAGACAGAGCAAAATGTTTTGAAGCATGCCATTAAGTTTGTATTTCGAGGCTTTCTACGCATTTCTGGCAGGCTGTAATACGCGCCACGAACACTTAGTTTCCTCAACAGGTGCCTCTTTTCGAACTAAACAGAGAACAAGGTGAGGTTTTTTCTAAGCAAAAACAATCGCTGCATACAGACTATTGTTTCCACATCATCTTAAAATGCAGTTTCTCTTGGCACAGAAAAGCCAGATTCTGTAAATGCACAAGTCATATAACTGTGATTCCGACAAGGACAATGTAGCGGCTTTCCTGTTTTATACAAGGCATAGCCGGAACAGCTACCGAACATGGAGAAAAAAATTCGCGATGTTCTTCAGAGAAAACTATAGTAGCTTTTAAGCAACACCTCATGCCTTAGAGAAGGCAGACAGCAGTCTTTTTACGTGACCTATCTGCTGATAGTACTTGTTTTAACATTTTGATGTCCTTTTAGGTTAGAAGCATGTATCACCACATAGATAACATACAGTTATGCAGGAAAGCCAACTAGTCCTTGTTGAAAAGAGCCTATCAAGAATGTCGCAAAACAACAAACAAGAGTGTCATCTTATCACATCCATACGCATAATGTGCAGCAAAGATATGGACTCAACTACAAACATTCTTGCACTTTCGCACCCAGATAGATCGTGCAAAGAGTTGATGGCAACGCTGGTCCTTGCCTTTGCTGCGATTCTGAGAGTATGAAAGACTGGTATAAAAAAGAAGCTAACCGGCATCGTCGAACGTCACCTATGTTACCTGTGAAGTGGCCTTTGTTGGTTAAGAAACTCCCTGGTGCTCTGTGAGTGGTTCTCGTCGAACGTCATCCATGTTGTTTGTGCAGTGGCCTCTGTTGGTTAAAAAACTCCCTGGTTCTCTGCGAGTGGTTTTCTTGTCGTTCTACAAGCAGTAACCTGGCTATGAATGGAAGAGCTGTCCGCACTGGGTGAAGCACAAAAAAAAAAAAAAAAGGAACCTGGACTACGTGACGTCTAGCAGGCGCCCACCATGTTTCAAGCGGATGTGCTGCAGGCGTCAAGCAGACACCTAGCAGACATCCAGCAGACGTCTAGTGGACATCTAGAATAAGTCGTTTTGGGGCATCTAGCAGATGCCCCAAATGACCAATTTTCTGGTTTATTGCTGCAACAACGAAGCCAAACCTAACCAATCGTCGTCATGACAGCACGACACACTCTTTAACAACGTGTCGGAGAAACACACGGCAGGGAAAAGTGGAGACGGCACTTCGACGGGGACGATTTTGCAGAGCACGCAATCACAACCTTGTCGCACATTTCTCTGTGCTCATACCACAAACATGCTAACGTCTCTGGGGAACCATATATAAACAAAAAACTCTCAAGAGACTAAACAATGCAACAACTGGCCAGAAGTATATATATATATATATATATGTAACACACTCTGGGTAAGGAAACTGGGGAAGCAAGGGAGGGGATTCAATGGCGACATGACAGGTTCCAGTAGCATAACAAAGGGTACGGGTGTTGTCTTCAGAGTGTTGAAGGGAAATGTGGGGAGCTATAACAAGACTAGACAAATGACGTTATCGCAGGCTACTTGCACTAGCTTCTGAAAAACGCAGAGGTGGCCTCATAACTTTTTTTTTTCGTTGTGTGGAAAAGTCAGCGCTGATCATCTCTCAGTTGTCATCACTGTAGAGCCACTGCAACCAGAATCCCGACTGTGCACACACACACACACTGTCCTCACCTTGAGCGATCGTTGCACCAGCTGCTTTGAGGCCGCAGCTGACTTCCTGCGGATGCACTGTTGACAGTCCTGCCGTCACAGTCAGTTTCCAACAGGGTGGCTGTAGTGCCATTGCGGTCAAATTGCGACTGACACGATGCTGATGGTCTGTAGTAGCAGTGAGACTGTTTTGTCGTTTGTGGTGACTATTCTGCTGTAGCAGCCGATAGACCTATCACTAACGTCGCCTTCCTTCCCGTGCAGTGGCCATCAATTGTTTCACAAGTTCTTCTGACATTAGACATTATGGACCATTATTTTTGTGTGCAAGTCGAGCGCTTTCAACAAATACAACTGCTGTGAAACAATGCAATGGTTTGTGGCGCTTGTGGTGGCAGATTTTCATTCGGCCTAAATGTGCTGTGTGACTGCATAGTGACCGGCTCACGTTCCGCCAGTCATACAGATGTGATTGTCCAGAATGCTTCCTTAAGTTCAGAGGGCGTTCCGACGTCTTCAGTTGTGGAAGTGGCCTTGTTCTCCCGCCCAAACACGTCCTGTAAGACAACGAAGACTTGAGTTGTTTAGGTTAGACTATAGGGGAACTTTTCTTTTAAAACCGCTGGTAAGACGGAGGCACTAAGGTTAAGGGTTAGCATATTACTTTCTCAAGGCTCCGGCTTAGATACAACTTTAACGCTTTCGTTGCAATTATACTCAGTTACAACCCAAGAAAAAAAAGTTAGTTTCAAACCAGCCCACTATGAGCTAACAGTAGAGCTGGCAAGCAAGAGTCATCACCTGGAAAATACAGGAGCTTTTTCATTGTTTTCCTTTTTCCTTCAAGTTTCTTTTAATGACGATAGTCTTTCTTGGGAAACTTCAACACAAAAGATTTGGTCTGTCTGTCTGTTGGTGTCTGTCAACCTAAACGATTCAGCTACCAGGCTGAAGTTCAACGGGATCCTCAGCGTTCTCTAATCTTGATGTGTTGTCCGCGTTTGTACTTGCATACATGGTTGACCAAAAAGCAAATATTGTGCATATCTGATGCACAACATCAACACGTTATTATTTCGTAGTGTGTTTCTTTATACTAGAAAATGCATAAATGCATAATTCTGAAGACCATACTGTTTATTAAACTTCACTTAAAATGCTATGCTATGCACGAAAAGACAGATGTTTCCTACACTTTGCGAAGCCGATACAGTGCTGTCACCTACCCGTGGCTCTGAGTTTTACAGGTGGTTTCGTTTTCCAAGATTACTGGCTAGATGGCCCTCATGTCTCACACAGGGCTTCCAGGATCTCATTGACCGATCATCTCCTCACGCAGAACATTAAATTAAAGTTTTATTCTCTCTCTCTCCAGACAGAAGACTATTGCCTTTCCATGATATTTGCAGTGAAACACGCAGATGCGCGGCCAATTTCCTATATCTCTTTCTGTATAGTACGAGATCATTCTGTGAAGAATACGAGCAGAATGCGAATAGAGTAAACGCTTGTTAAATATAATCTGATGAAACAAAGAAAATATGTCCCATTTACCAAAAGTTCTATTTAATGACAGATGAACACGGATACAAAATACAGCTACAATACCAGTCCGGCCAGAACCACTTGTTCCGATTGAGCAGCAGTCCTGGGATCCGTTAACTCAGAGTCTACTGTACTCGATTTTTTTTTCTACCACCGTCGCAAAGGCCGTGATAATGCTAGAACCTTTGAAGCCACATGTATATACACTGACGCCCCCTACTGCAGACCAAATCATCAACTGCCGATGCTCCGTTCGCCGGTATCAGTCTATGGCACCTATTGCTTTTTACAGTTGAAACCCGCAATAACGAAACCCCGCGAAAACGAAATCCCCGCGGCAACAAAATATTTCCGGATCCCCGGCGAACGTTCATAGAAGCCCATGTATTACGTATCTCGCGGCAACGAAATGTTTTTGGAGAGCGATCCCACATTAACGAATTTTCTACCACGGTGCGGGCCTTATTTTACCCTCCCGCCAAAGGTTAACTGTCGAAAATATGCTCGTATGCGTGCTATGTGCACTCAAAATTTGTAAACCTCTGCTTTTGCCGCGCTAGTGTGGGTACCCCCCTTTTCGTTTACTTAAACCGGCGATGGGGTCTGTGTCCGGCAACATGCCTGACCACACTGCAGCAGGCAATGGCAAATGATCATGCTGGAGTGCAGATGGCGCTGTCGGACGAGCTATTCCTGACCAACGCCTGGGGGGAACTTTGAGCCATCGACATCGACATCACAGATGAACTAACCATTGACGACGTAAGGCTGGTGCACACCGGCGACTTGTAGCGGTCGCGTGACCATTGGCGTCTGGCGACTAAAAAGCGACTGATGTTCACACCGGCAGAGGCTGCATGCGAGCGACTGGAAGTCGCAAAACTGAAGAGTCACGTCCGGATCTCGTTATCAGCGAGAACTCTGGAGACCGGCACTGATCAGCTGATCGCCGCCAGCTGAGTGAACTGAGCGCGCCACATTTACTGTTTTCGTCCGTTCATGCACATCATTGAAAAAACAAAAACAAAAATTGACCATCGCTGATTGGTTCCAGCAGCTTTGCGACTGCAGTCGCACGACTGAAAAATCAGTCAGGAAGCAACTAGCCAAAGCAGTCGCTTTGCGACCGTTTGCGATCGTTCGCGACTGTTTGCGACCAGTCGCAAATGGTTGCGCGATCGCTGCTAGTAGCCGATGTGCACCAGCTTGTAATCGTTTACGAGGAAGTGACCGACGAGGCCATTATCGAAAGCGTGTGCAATGCTGGCGACACCGAGGACCAAGAAGAGACGCAAGCAGAGAAACCAAACCCGCGGGTTGTTTTGGATGCGCTGGACACCCTTCGCTCCTTCTTCGGTGCACATGACGACGACGTAGCAATGGACCGCTTTTTCCAGTGCGAAGGGAGAGCTTTGAAGTTGTTGCATGGCAAGGGTCGGCAAAGTAAGTTGACCGACTTCTGGCAATAAAGTTTCGTTCTGCTTGCCGAATCACTGTTTTTATGTCTCATACTCGCAGCAATGAAAATCTCGCGAAAACGAAATTTTTTAGTTTCCCCGGCGATTTTGTTTTTGCGGGTTTCCACTGTAGTGACGTTTCAATTTCCATGCACAGGTTCACCCAAATAAAAAGCTGCCTCGAAAACATTGCTACCTTCATCAACATCACGACCCCATGACACTATTCATGGCTATGCTTCGCTTTACCCTATAACTTTTTTATTTCTTTTCTTCTCACCCTCGCTTGTCTTTCTGCCATGTTGCTATAGTATATATATTGTGCTATGTATAGCACAGCATACAGATATCCCCTATACTATATTATGCTATATATAGCACGGTATATTATAGTGGGTATGTGCAAAACAGCACACTGGCCCTTCCACCCTGTTGCTATACTGTGTATACTATACTATGTATCGCATATAACTACCGTATGTATCTATTCATTTTATTTCAGTATGATAGCCAGTGACCTTAATGATCAAAACAACGTTAAATCAAGCCATTATATGACAAAATAATAACGAATTGAAAGTAAAAGATAGTTATGCAATCATGCTGAACAGATGCGAGCGGCACGAGCGTGAACGACGTCAATTAAAATTTGAAAGTTGCGCCTTGTACGGCAAACCGCCATCTGTCGAATGCAGGAGAAACCTCTTAGCTGATAGTGCCACGCAAACACAGAGGCACAAAAACAAAGTGTGTGGCGTGCAAAATGGCACTCGCGCTGTGTCATGGAACACGCCACGCGCTCGCCATCTCGGACCTATGCAAAGCGCAACCGCACCCGCAGTGCTGACGGCGCATTGTGCACCCGCAACGTCTAATAAAATGTTTGTGTGCTGCCATCCGACGCTGCATCTTCATCGTTGACTTTGTCGTTGTGAACTTAGTTAGGACACTTGCTGTGCAGGTCGCGTTCGGCCGGTATGCTAGCTACATGGCTGGTTAGTAACAGCATGCGTTGGAGCATTGGAACCAAGCGGCTAGACAACACTTCGGCGTCGATCCATGCACTTTCATCACGGGAGGAAACAAAAAGAGCATCGGACTACAAAAAAAAAATGTCGCGCATTTCACAGGTCAAGACAAGCGAAGTCAGCACACGAAATTTTCGTTGTTTTAACTCCCGTGGTTTTTTCTCCCGCGTAATGAACCCTCCCCTAAATTGGCATCAACTTTTCTGAAAAAAAAAAAAAGGTGGGTTCATTACGCAAGTAAATACGGTATCTTGAGCAGTTTGGAGCTTGTAACCGACTGCAACACTGCAGACGCTAGACGTTCCTTTATCTAATTTCATGCAAGAGACAGAAGTCAATAATGGCAGTTTCCACACAGCCTCATTTACGCACTGCTAATTAAGAAGACAAAAGCAGCTGCCAAAACTTATTTATCCAGAGTGCCCAAAGTGAAAAAATTCAATATGGTGTAGTAGCTGGGTACGCTTCCCAATTATTCCGGAGCTCGCATGAAAAAACTGAACAGGAGTAAAAGTGGCATGCGGAAGTCTCGACGAAACAGAATTCCTGTAGACTTGAATGAAACTAATACTATCACTGACATTCGTAATGGATAGATTCAACCAGAAATTTTTTTTGGATAAACTTACGATCATCAGAAATTTTCACCGATGAATAAAAATTTTTCTTGAAACAAACCATTAGTGTCAAGAAAATGTTGATGGTGCGAAAGATGAAATAAACTGGAGATAACTGGGTTCTTCAACCTGCAGTGGGCATACAATTAGACTGACAATGATCATCATGATGACTACTATAATCTATGAGAATTAATAACTGGTGTAAAAACATCGATTTTAAGCCATTCATTCTACTCTCAAACCTTGGTATATAAACCTCGATAAAACGAAAAAGGACTGAAAGCTGGGCCAGTTGATAGTACTTGAAAATATTTTAAAACAGCGCACGACTACGGGGACACAAGATAAGAGACAGCCCTTCAGTTTGTCTCTTCTCTTGTGTCTGCGAATTCGTGCGCTGTGTTAAAATAAGTTCAAGGGTCATAACGAAATTTATGAAACATAGCCCTACAATGGATACAGTGTCAGAATTATACTTCTATAATAAATTTTTGCATACACAAACTTAGTTTTGTGTGAGATGCAACTTCGTTATAATGAGGTTCGAGTGTGGTCTCTTTTACAGCATGTTAAGTGGCTACTATGATTGCTAGCTGTGAGTATTGCAAATGAAATCGTTACACATCCATTCCAGCCAACTCAGGGTTACAAAAGCTCTAACGCAAGGATCTGTCCACATATCTCGTTAGTACTCTCTTAATGAAGTTGAATCTAATTACCTCGATACCTCAAAGCCACATGCTGTTGTTCAAGTCAGTGGGGCTCTGAATGACCTAAAAGTGAATGAAATTACAATGAGAAAGAAAAGAAGATGATTAGAAGTGAGAACTGCAATTACTTACAGATTCAAAAGCTAAGCGACCCTTAGCATTACCACAGCATTTGGTTTTAGCTTACCTTCTCACTCTTGGGCGACACCATAATTAAATGCCACTGCGTAATAAGTCGTATTTCCGTCAAAATACATTGGTATAGAAGACGCCTCTTTTTGCATTTAGCAAGTTCGTTTTTTACAGGCTATTCATTCATAGGGGCTTGCAATGAGCAACTTTGTGACCACATCAAACACGAGCAGTGGAACAGGCAAACAATGTCCAAAATGTAACTTTAAGTACATTCATAATACACGTTGGTGAGCAATGCACAATTCTGTCACAACTCATACCATAAAAATCAGAATAACTCAAGTTTAGTGGAAGTAGAATAAAATCTCTAACTACACTGCACATCGAATAATTAAATGCACAGGAAAAAAAAGGTACAAAAATGTTCATGCTGCAAGCACACCCACGTGCGCATGTCATGTCCATGAGTCTTTAATTGGCTAAAGCACAGTTGCAAGTGCTTACCACAAGGTGACAAATTCTTTGAATGATTACAGAGTCTCCGCAGGAATATCTTCAACCTGAGGGAGCTTTCAAACATGCCAAGTCAACTTGTAAGCCATTTAAAAGCAGCCATTGGCCCTAGGTGTCATTAAAAGGCAAGTAGTAAACAACCCCGCAGTCCACGATTTGTGGGGAAGTAATAACTGTGCACTTGCTGGACGTGCTTCCGTAAGAATTTTGTGAACATGTACTGTCATATGAAACTTACAGGGTACTAAACAGCCCACTTCAGTTGTTTTCGGTCTCTGGTTAAGCCTTCACACCCTTTGTTGCTGTGTAGAGAGGTACCGTTGTCGCAACTACGCCCCTTCGGCAAAGCAACGCAACAATAGGAATTAAACGTTGGTGCGCAGCCAATGACCTAGCAAGGCTTCCTCCACGTGTTCTACCTCTCGGAGTGACCTGATGGAGTACGGTGCGAAGGATGCGTAGCACTGGCAAGAACTATGTGACACTATTTATTTATTTATTTATTTATTATAATACCCTCGGGGCCCGTAGGGCATTACAGAGGGGGTGGGTATAACATATATAACACACAAGAAAAAAGACAAAATAAAGAAACAAGTATCAGATGCGCAAATCAGGAAGGCAACATAAGTCAACTAAAAATGTATAAGAATTCAAGCACATACAAGACAAAGATAGATAATGGAAACTGCGTATAGTTACAAGCATTGCTGAGAAATTGCAGTCTTGAATAACAAAGGGTCTGTTATTGATACAACGGAAGAGGGAAGGTGGTTCCAATCGGCGGCTGTTTTCGGTAAGAAGGCTGCTGAAAAGAATTTGGTGCGGCAAAACGGAATGGCAACCTTATGCTGATGATCAATGCGCGATGAGTGGTATGACGGTTGTGAAATGAGGTCTCGCTTCATTGATGGATTGCAGAGACAAAGCCGAATTACCAAAGAGCAAGGACACCATTTGGTAGTGCATATTGACAAGTGGACCAAATTTGGTTCTTCATTAAGCTGTTCATCAACCAGATAACACCACCTCTCGAGCAAAGAGGCCTCAACATGTGTCGAAAAGTGGTGCAGAAATCGTTTTTCGAAGTGGAGCATCTGCGGGCATGCAGCGCTGTAATTTTCGCAAAATGTGATCACCGCGGTCTTTCGCACGAACTGGAGGCTTTGTTTGGGAAATGTAGAAAGAAAGTCAAAGCCCGTGTGCTGGCCCTCTATGGCACAAGGAAAACAACACATCAAGTGTCCAAGCCTTCAATCAAAAGCCTCCCACCCACCTGTTCATAGTCAAAGCTGCCGTTGAGGTTCCGCACAGGCCTCGACGACCGCGTCACTCGTGGGGACAGGACTCTGCGGTTTAGCGTCTCCGGCGACAGTGGTACGGGTGAGCGGTTCAGCGTCTGGCTTGGGTAGACTGCACCGTTAACGGACACAAAGGAGTCGTCATCACCATTCATGGGCGAGCAGGTGCTGCGGCTCCCGCGACCGGGCAACGTGTGCTCCAGGTCGTCGACATCCGGGAACTTGCAGGGCCACTTAGATGAGGGCGCACTTGCCCCAGCAGGCTGTGAGAACTTCGCGGCCAGAAGCGCGACTCTCCCGGTTCTCGACGTGTCCACGTCTGACGCCGACTTTGCCGGCACCGTGTTGTAGCCAGACCAAGGCTTCGTCGTCATTGTTATGGGAGAGGTCGCTCGCAGAGCGGACGTTTCTGACGCTGAACTCCGGCTGACACTGTACTTCTTTGGTGACCCCTTTGTCGGCGAAGTGCTGAGGTAAGTGGGGCGTGGACGAAAGCCACTGCCACGGGTTGTCACCCTCGTTGGCGAGCTCTTCTTTGGTGACACCTTTGGAGGCGGGCTGATTCGGTTCAGCTTTTCGGTCGGGAAGTCCAAGGCCCGTCCGGGTGATGGCGTCAGAGAACGGTTCTCAACAGGACTGGGTCTGTCCACAAAAATGTCCAAGAAAATATTAACCCTTTCCGCATCAACCTTTATACATATTTATTAAATTAGCCTACTTCCTTCTATGCATCTGAAACAACTAAAACACTATTTAATGATGTTTCATTGCAAGATACAAACAAAATACTTTTTTAAATATATGCAGAGGATTGGCTTCACTGCACTGCCCCATAGAAAGTGCCATAATTTCTTGATTTCAATGCAGCAAGTATTTCTCAAATTACTTCTCGTTTTTCAAATGCTCAAAATAAATCTTCTAAGAAGCAATAAAAATAAAAGAGGTGCCACATTGATGGCTTTGGTAGTTGCATAGAATGCACACAATATTGGAGCAGTAGTTTACTTAACATAATGGCACATAAATGGTCAGTGCAATAAACAAAAATGAACTGAATGAGTTCACAATATAAGAAGACAGTGCCCTTGTGAGCAGCCAGAGTTGTTGCAGCACTTGGCCAAGCAGATTGCAACCATGTGTTTTTCTACGCTGCGTCTGAAACCCACTTCGGCGACACGACGGAACACCAAGTTAGAGGAGCTCAGCAACACTTTTCCAAGTAGCGATGGAATCCACTAAAAAACCTTACCTCCTAACAAATTCACCTGTCGCAAAAGTTTTCAGACTCTCTCCAGTACGAGCGGAGTTGCAATGATTTGCTGCACGCTGCATTGTATTCTCTCATCCCGACAAAAGTGCTGGGAGCTAAGCAGGGAGGGGCGGCACAGGAAAAGAAAGTACGTGACGTGCACATCATAACCTTGAGACACTTTTCATTAATTTTTTTTTTCTTAGACTGCATGGATTTTCAGAGCAATTGGGTGCGCACGTGTGGGCAAGTTGCAGCATCCCGCGGCCCCAGTAATGACTGAGCGTGCCGAGCTCCTATCAGCCAATGGCCGATACTTGGCCAGTGATGCAGCGATTTTTTAGAATGTAGCATCATTTGCCGAGAGAGGAGAAAGCGATTTTTAGCTGACATTGAGAATTCATAGTAAACTTCCGGTTGCATGCCGCGTCATGGCGTTTGGCTCGCATGTTCTCGGGAGCCTCGACTACCGATCGGCAGCTTTTTTTGACCAAGCTCAGTATGATGTTTCAGGGCTCTTTTAGCTTGCCCGTGAACACCAACGTGCAAGTACCACTACCAGAAACTTCAGTCAAGAATCAGGGCCATCTCCCATATTGGTGCACGTCAACTCACGTTATGTCAGAAGACGTCAAGCTGTCCATAAAACTCGTCGTGCCGGCAGGTGGCGAGAAGTCTCGGAGAGAAGGCGGGGAGCCCGGTGACAGCGCCCCGGCGTCGGTGTCGAAGCTGTCGCTCGGGGACAAGGCTCGTGGTGACGTAAGCTCGCCGCGGACCAACGGGTTGCTGGCACTCCGCGACGGCGAGCCGCGCGAAAGGTGCTGGTGGCTCCGGCTCGCCGGCAGCGAAGTTCTCGTGAACCAGTGTCCGGGAGAACTGGACCGCATCCTGCGCGTCGTTGCAGGCTGCCTCCGGTAGAAAAGTAGGTAGGCGTCGCGCGCGGCCAGGTCTTCGTCCAGCGCTCGACGTACTCGAGCGTCATCGAACAGGTACCATTGTTCGTCCACAGGGTTTTTGCAGCAGGCTGGAACCACGAAGGTGGGTGATAAACCGTAAGACGTACGCAGAGAGATGTAGCATAAAAGAGGTATGCTAAAAAAGAACAGCACGTCCAATACATTTACCAGACAAAATGTCGTGGCACCGATTTCCTGACCTCGAATTAGAACATGTTCATCGACGACACTAAATCTGCTATCTTACAGAACAATAAAGAACTGGATTCTAGTGAGAAGGCGGAAATACCGATCATAAACTCTTCCCATGCAGGCACCCCATCTAATAATCAGAGAAATTCACTAATCAATAAGCACCCCCCCCCTCGACTCACTTATCCTATTCCTATAGACAGCACAATAACTTTTAGTCACTTAAAAGTTCAATGCGCCCCTCATCTTGCCGACCTCACAGAGTGCCACAACCAATCTGCATTTTGGGGTTACTGCAAAGGCTGCCTGATCAATGATTCTGACATCTGCACGATTGTGGCAGTTTTTGAAATTCGGAGGATGTTTTTAGCAGTTTATTTTGTTGGCGAGGCATTTACTGGAGTTTCTTCATGGTCAATACCTGATTCTCCGTAATTCAGGGTTTAACTGTAAATTATTCTTGCTAATACAAAATGAAATGATATCTGCACAAGAAAACAGACGTAACTCATAAAGGCTACTAATTGCCTGGAAGGTTTGCATGTGCAAACACATATACAAAAAAGCACGAATACTTTTATAGACAGCAAGTTTGTGTGTATTACCAGCTTAAAGCTTGTTCTGCTACACACAAGCTTACTTTACCAGGTTCGAGATATACCTAGACATCCAAGAACCCCCCCCCCCCCCCCCCAGCAGAGAGAAGCACAAGAAAAGAGTGTGGCATTAAAGCGTTGAGTTTTTGTTCGAGGTTATGTACCAACTAGCCCAGCGACAAGTTTTGCTAAGATACTTTACTAGCTAGCTGTCACTGATGAAAGCGCGCTCCTTTCGACTGATTATTCATAGCTTTGAACCAGGTCACAGCACAGCTACCTCGGCTAAGGCTTTTCCAATCTTCGAAAAAAGTGGCTTGTTATAACATAACAGTTCTATGCCTAGAAAGCTTATCGTTGTGGAAGTTTGCAAGCACCCCTACTTCTAGACGTTTGTAGAGTTTTGGCTACTTGTCGATGATGGTGATGGAAATAGAGCACCTTTTCATCAAACAGTTCATCGTTGCAATGTCTTACCACAGATTCACAGTGACCGCGTGTAGGTATTCATGACGTGAATGATCAGTACACTCCAACCTTGACATAACGAAATACCGGTGATAACAAGGTAAATGAAGAAAAGTCTCTCAATAGATACAGCATTAGAAATATACCTTCATAACGAATTTTCAAATACAACAAACTTAATTTCGTATAAAATGCAACTTCGTTATACGGAAGTTTGAGTGTACTTGGCATTGTGCATGCCGCCGAACTCTTGCTTCGAAAGACACTACCAAGAGGCCCATCAGCTTCTTGCAGTCATGACATAGCGCACACAAAACCAGTATGTAAGGTGAAGTTTATATCAGTTCAACCAGCTAATGTACCAATAATCACTTGAAACAAGCCCTCTCGATAAGAAACAAAACAGAGTAATTTTATAAACAACAAAACAGAGTCATTTTAGCCATTGCAACAGGACTTTAACGAATAAATCTGTATTGTCAAAAAATTCACTGGCAAAGCAAATGTTTATCAGATTTCTTTGGATTTGGGCGCACGTTAAAGAACCCCAGGTGGTCGAAATTTCCGGAGCCCTCCACTACGGTGTCTCTCATAATCATAAGGTGGTTTTGGGACGTTAAACCCCACAAATCAGATTTCTTTGGATTTATCGCATTTACTCACGTAATAAACGCACCACCAACTTCAGTTGTCAAAATTATTTTTTTTTCTCCCACGCAATAAATGCACCCCCTACATTCATCCGTAACAATCCCGCTAACCGACAACTGGCGCCTCCTTTCCTGTTCGATCTTTTCCGCTTTTTATTATACCGACGCCCCTCCGTCACCTCAGCTCGTTCCCTCCCTTCCCCTTCAGCTGCTGCTTCGTGCCGTTTTGTTTTTCTTTCAATCTGTGCGTAGCGCGTCCCTTGTCCTATTTTTAAATTATCTGTGAACGATACGAGTGTAGAGACATGGCAGCTGACAAGCCCAAAGTGAGTGAATGTCACGAAACTGCCCACGCCAACCAGAGGTCACTTCGTGCAAATACGAAACTTTAAGACCCAACCACAAGCACGTGATTTTCGAGCAACGACGAGAGGATTTGCTGTCGCCATGGCTGTCGCAAAGGAGGGTCATTCGTCGCCATTAAGTTGCAGGTTTCTGGAAAACCAGAAAAAATCGCTTGTCGCCCAGAAAAGAGCGTGACGATTTCCACAATATGATAGCATCCCTGATTTTCACTTTGGTAGCAATTAGCTCTTCATGCTTGTTAGAACACGTACTTCAAGAATCACAAGATGTAGGCTACCTTTCCTAGTCACCTCTCATGCAGACAGCGAGGCGGTGGCCGTCTTTTGTCATTAATCTTGATATTGACGATTTGTTTTGATGCTTCGGTGGTAGCTAGCTGCAATGTTGGTTACTTGCTGCAATTTTAACGGTGGCGGCACTGTCGTCGTGAGAGGTTACCACAGAGCTAAGTGCATTGTAGCGCACCCTTCTGGGGGCCCCTCGAGATAACGGCAGATACAAGTGTTGCAGTTAAACTATGGTGAGAAAAGAAAGCCACAAAACACACACCTATCTGAAGTGTGCAAGTGACGTGGGGACAGCTTGCAGAAGATAGCACGACCAAAGATTAGTGAAGTGCCACGAAGTATTAAGCTCTTTCCAAACAGTGTACGCATATGTCAATTGCAAAAGACTAAGCAATCTAACTTGCTTTTGCATTACTGCATTTTTTGCTCATCTCCAAAAGCTGTCAGAAAATTTGCCCCACATAATAAACGCACTGCCAACTATGCTTCGATTTTTCGGGAAAAAAACGTACGTTCATTGCGCGAGCATGCTACCCGGTACCTGGAAACACGGAGTCCCAGTTATAAGGCAGGACACCCAGTACTCAGGCAATTCCAGCTTGTGCTCCCATCCCTCAATTTTCGCTAGCACTACTTTAACGCCCATGAAATGAGTGTGGAGAGGCTGAGATCATTGATAAGCATGGCTGGACTGACCTGTGTAGTGGCCTCCCTGAAGGCCCGTCCCGTGATGGCTGCAGAAGGCATACAGATCATAGAGGACGCTGCCAGACCCCGATGCGCCCTTGCAGAGGTGATTGCTGAGGTCCAGGTCTTGGAAAGGAATCTCAACCCTCGTTGCCAGCTTGCTGTGCCGACCTCCATTCTGTGTGCGGTCAAAGACGTTGATACGGGACAATGAAAAATTTTGTGTAAAGCTTCTTATAGCCCATTACAACCTAAAGAGAAGTTGGAGGATGCTTGGGCTTCGTTTTCAAGAGTAGAATGTGATAGCAAGATCAACACGCGTCTGCACTGCCCTCTCAATTGCCAGCCTGGCTTGGCTTCTCGGTAGACGCTTGAGCCGAGCCACAAGGAAAGGAACTTCTTTGCGAGTACCACTGGTTGCTCGAAGCTATACTAGAACGCATACTTCAAGTAGAGTAACCAAATTCTCACTGCGTCATAATTCTTCTTCAAGTGAATTAGCGATGTGTCCCTTACACTCAAGCCTTGATATATCAAACCTGGATATAACAAATTATGAGTTATAACAACCTAAATGAGGAACAGCTTTGTCATAGACACAGTGATATATATATATATATATATATATATATATATATATATATATATATATATATATATATATATATATATATATATATATATAGTTTCTAACGAAACTTTGGATGTAATGAAAAACTTTTGTGGCAGTTGTGACGTTATAATGAAGTTTGAGTGTACGTGTTCAAAAAGCAAAAAGAGAAACCTACGCAGGCTGCTCAATTTTTTATATGCTTTTGATGATCATATGTCTCAACACTTATGAATGGGCCTTTAAACCACTCGTTCTTTGTATAATTTCTATGTCTTGAGCGAGCCTACTGCAATGCTACGCTTCTGCCATGCAACATTGCTTGCGTTAGGGGAACTGCTCACACTGCATGACATTTGTATTAAGCTTTTTTTTTAAACAGTTCCAAGAAGCGGCGTGGCACTGAGGTACAACACCTACTTGCCACGCATGAGGCCTGGGTACGATTCTTGCTCGGAGCGAGGTTCATTTTTGTTATTTATTTACTCGCATTTATTTCGAATTTTCACTCACGAATGCCACTTTTTCACTTGCTATCAACGACACCAACCCCAAAGTTTCTGCAAAACAAACAAGCTCTGCAAAATATGTTGCAGACAGAGCAGCCAACACGGACTTGAGAATTCACGCAGACGTTTATCAGTGTCCGCATAAGCCCAAAACCTAAAAAACACCTTCTTGCTTTCTTGCTACGAGCTCACGAGCTCGCTCGCATGCCAGCATGAAGCTCATCGTCGTCTTCTTACAGGCTGAAGGCGGGAATGTCAACAAGCTCTTCAACGTTATTGGGCTGAAAATTTAAGATCCTCCTGCAAATTGCAGCACACCTGCCCTTCATCTGCCAAAGACAATCGTGCTAGCTGGATTCTTCTCAAACCGTTCGCGTTTTTTCTCGGCTAACGTAGATACTGTCCCTATTAGCAGTGAAACGTCTGTTGTTATTACCCGAAACACTACGGTAAGTTAAACGGCGATATCAAAATCCTGACTAAATTTACAAGGACATTCAAGCTCCCAAGCTGGTAAAAAAAAAGAGTATTCCACATTAGCTATCGCGGCTAAGAGCGGCACTGGCTAACACTCCCAGGGTTTGCATGCACACAAATATTCGATAAGTGAACGAGGGGACGATCGCCGCTTTGGCTGAGTTGATAAGAGTATCACGCATGTAATCTGCAGGTCAAAGAAATAAAATATGCGGCAAACTGAACAGTCAACACGGACTCGAGAACTCAGGCAGACGTTTATTAGTGTCCGAATAAGCTTGGAATGTAAAAAAAAGGCCCAGAACATGACGACAATGACTTCTCGTCTTCTTCCTCTAACGAGCTCACGCTTTCACTGGTATGCTGGTGCAAAGCTCGTCATTCTGTTTTCTCGGGCTGAACGCAGAAAATTCAACAAATGTTTGGTACGGCATCGTTGTCTTATCGTCCACCTTACTTTCTATGCATCTTTATCACGTTTACCACTCGACACTTAAAACAGTACAATTAACATCTAGTACTATAGCTTCCTTGGCTTTATTATCCTCTAGTTGTCATTGAGGTTGTGTCGACATAGAAGTGGTGATACGACTCAGGTGTGTATAGGAAATTCAACAACCTGAAACATGCAAGAAGTGCCCGATGTCATTAAAATGGGTCAGCCCTATTGGATGGAACACTTATGAAAATTCCCTATGGGAGGCGCAGCAATAGCTGTTAGCGGCATTTACTTTTTAGATTGTAAGCGAGTACAGAGGGCCAGTCAATTCACAGTGAAAGAATGACAGCACAATACAATGAAGTACCATATTTACATGATTTTAGGTCGACCCATTTCGTCTTAATTTTGAATCTGAAGTTGTAGGAGTAAGACCGAGAATCGAAAACTAGTTAGTTTGTCAAGTGTTTCTGAAAATGATGCCCACATATTTTCACAAAGCTAGCTTTTAAGCACAGCTTTCAAGCAAAGCCGTGAAGCCACCCGGGCACACCACTCTCTTTATGATTTGCTTGAAAAATTAACATTTTTTGTGAAATATCCTCGGGCTTTCTTTTGCCGTGCGATATTAGGGGTGGCTGCCTACTTTTGAGTTGACTTACAATCATGTAAATACAGTGATAGCTTCCCGAGAAGACAGATTGCTTGCATGTATCGCCCAACCACCTTCGTCACCTCAAACTGTTAAGTTTACTATAGGATATCTCTTAGGTATGAATATGATTGCCAGAAAGTACCCGACAATCTTTTTTTTTTCAGAAATGCAATTTAAACTCCCGTTGATGAGATATTCGTAATGAAATTTTTGTAGCAAAATGAATGACGATAACAACCATACTCGTCATCACCCAAAATTTGCCCTACATGAAACCAATGGCTACTACACTCATCATAGTTCTGTTTCCTGATGCTAGATGACCACACTCATTCACATTGTGCAATTTTTGCCAAGGCTATCACTTTTTTTTGCCTCTCCATGTACTGCCATGAGGTGAAACCATCTTATGGTTATCTTTTTTTTTTGGTAGGCAACTGGTGAAATAAAGGAACCTAAACGAGTTGAACGTATGGTACCGTTTTATTCAGAAAAGAAATCTTTACAATTATAAGAAAAATAAGTTCTAAAAAATCTGGCACAATTTTCTTTTAATGGTAATGCAAGTGTTAATTACTTCAGCTGAACTTATTCAACTGTTATAGGTTCCCTTAACATCATACTTACCCCCATATGCAAAAACGCTCCTTGACCTGAATTTGACTTGCCACAACCTTCAATGCCACGCGTTCGAAACGCGTTTGTGGAGCATTGAAAGCGGTAACAAGTCAAGTTCAAGTCAAGGAGTCTTCATGAAGCAACTAAGCCACAAAACATCACATACTTTTGAAATGAAGTACTCTGCCGTGCGCCACCTGACAACCACTTAAATTTCCGGGCCCCATCGCAACTAACTTTCCGGCACAAAGAGCATGCCCAACTGATGTCTCCCGAAGGTCGGCAAACATAAGTGGAACTCATTCGGACTCAGACTCACTAAAATGTTGTTCAGCCGGACCCACTCAAACTCCAACTCACCAACATATTGTTCATGTGGACTCACTCATACTCAGACTAACTGTTTGATCTGAGTCTGAGTGAGTCCGAGTTCGCTGACCGATGATTGAGACACCCCCTCACCTGATGGAAGCGCTTTAGGTGAATGACCAGGATTTCAGGGCAGAACCACAGGCCCAGCTGCGCAAACCCTTGCTGCCGGCTGTCACACTGGGGACACAGCCAGGCCTCTTCCGGTTCCAGCTGGAATGAGACAGGTGTGGAACAGAGTCGTAAGCAATTATTCGTTCTTTTATTTATTTACAGATACTGCAATCATCCCTCGGTAATTTTTGCATGAAGATAGTCATGAACAAAGGGCAAGTACAAGGGTATTTAAGATACATAAGTTATACAATGTGTATAGGGCAGATACAAACTTCCACTGGCAAGAAGATACAATAAAAAAATAGAAGATTGCATTTATATAATAATTAATACGATTCAACTGCTCAAAGCACTTTCTCATTCCGAAGAAAAGAATGCCAATAAGGGTGCTGAAACATTCACATTAGTTAGTCACTGCACACTGTAATACTGAAGGATGAAAAATTGTTGTGCCTTCGAATGGAAGCAATACACAATAGCCGCAAAAAGTTTACTAGACCCCGAACGTCGCTGAAATGAGGCTCGGCTGCTCTGTGGAGAGCGTTTGACGAGCACCCTGCGTACCTTTTCCTCCGTGAAGTAAAAGGCGAGACAGTCGGAGAGAGAGACCGACGGCTCCGGCTCCGGCTGATTCGTGCTGACATCGTCCACGATGGAATCTTCAGCCAGGAACAACCTGGAAAGCAAGCCAAATTAATGTCACGACCGGTGCAACGTCGATCGGATGTACTGTGCCAAATCCCCCTTTACGAAAGACCGGCCACTCTATACACAGCGTGTTGTGTCAGTAGCCTTGTGGGTTGTGTAGGCGACACCATGAATCGTTGGCAACTGTGATAGTGTCGACCCTTGGTTAGCGTAGCTATTCCAGATTTGCTTGGCATACAAACTATTTACTGCGCAACAATTTCCAAGCAGCAACTGTATAATTAACTCGGAGCACAACAAGTGAACGGACAATAAAGACATAATACTGGGACAACTAGAGGCCTGCGTACTATGCCATGCAAAAGCGCGGTAAAGAACACCCCGTGGGCGAAATTTCTGGAGCCCTCCATTTCGATGTGGCTCATAACTATACTGAGGTTTCGCCCGTAAAAACATAGATATTACAGTCGAACCTCGCTACAATGAAACTGACGAGGCGTGGAAAAAATTTCGTTCAAGAGAAAATTTCGTTGTAGTGAAATAAAAAAACATAGCTGATCTGAGCTAGCAAAACAAAGGAACGTTTATTCTCAAAATTCAAAAAGTGTCCGCTGCTTCCTATTCTTTCCCAGCAGTGTCACGATGCGATTCTCACCCATGCATCGTGAGGACATGGTGAAAAGCACGCTGAAACTAGGTCTACGACTGCTTTAGTGAACGAAGCAAACAGCTGCATTAACACGTTAACATCAGCAGCTGTCCGCCGTTAAAGTGTGTTCTACAGCGCCGAGATGGAGACAGGGTATCGTGGAGCGGGAACTTTTGCCTTATTTTATGCTATTCTTATCGTCCACCACTCGCGACTAGCTGATTTTGTTGATAATGCAGACAAACAGCTGCTCTGATTAGTTACCACAATGGCCAAGCACGAACAAAATGATATGCATTGGCAGCGGAAAAGTCATGGTTCCGCACAGTTGCGTGAAAGAAAACCATGAACTGACCGTCTGCGGCTCAAAAGCAAGCCAGTGGCAAAAGCAGAGCAGTCTCAATGCCATCACTATCAAGCAATGGCAGCGGCCATGCTTGCTGAACAGCAGCGGTTTTTGGTGGTGCTAACGTGTGTTTTAGACTTAATCGACGTATTTTCAAGCTCTGAAAATACATCAAAATGTTAAAGACTGTGTTTACAGTATAGCAATAAATATCTGAGCCTGGAATCGCATCATCACATTTCGTTGAAGCAGGACAGCAGAAGAAAAAGTGTTTCTTGTGGCGACAATATTTATGCATCGACACCTATGAACTGCCGACAGGGAATCGTGAATTTTTCACAGTAGCAGAAATTTTGTTGAAGCGGCGTTCATTGTAGCGGAGTTCGACTGTATTATTATCGGAGACTATTATCTGCGGCTAAATAGACAAAGCTATGATGGCAGGGCTACAACGCACATATTGGCATGTGTAAGCTGTTTGAACAAACTGAGCATCTCTAGCAGTTTCGGTGGAGCTGTGTACTGTTTAATAGATAGCTCGCATCATGGCTGTGACAAAAAATTTGTGTGAACTGTGATCTCAAGCTCAAACAAATAGATCATCTATGTTTTCGTCTGACTTAACTCTCACGGATCAGATTCACCATGCCTATCGTGCCTGGCACGCTATGATAGTACACTCAGACCTCAACATAACAAACTCGGATATAAAAAAATATTCGTCATAAGGAAATAAACAAAAATAGTCTTGCAATAGTTACAGTGTTAGGAATATACTTTTATAACGAAATTTCACATATAACAAACTTTTTTTTTGTATGATGCAACTTTGTTATAAAGAGGTCTGAGTGCAAATGCATTGGGCTTCCTGCTGAAGCGTCTCTTACTGATTGGACCCAAGGAAGTAGCATCTTGCATTATGATTGACTGCAGGGCTAGTAGGCCTCATATTATCACTTTGCTGAAACAGTACTAATTAAACAAACACCAAATAATTAAGCAAAAAAAAAAAACTGCAAACCTTACAGCAAATCCCAGCTTACCTACTGCAGCCAAATGAATGGAGAAGCTGCTAAAAGCAAACTAATGCACACTGTCTTTTTCAGCTATACAGAATGTTTCTATGGCTTGGACACCAAAGGAAAACAAACTTAACTAGTGTAGACTGGTAAGCCTACCGGTCATTCATTCTTACTTAGCCAAAACGAATTAATTTACTGGAGAAGGTTAATGGATGTAACGATCACCTTCCCATAGCTCTCTTGATATAAGGTGTTTTGATTAAAAAGTGTGTTGGAAATGACGGAGTACAGTTGTGTCCTAACCACTTAGACACAACTTCTAAAAACCATGTAGGAACCCTTCAATCTCTGCTGCTGTCGCGATCTTCATGAAGACAGCAGGCAGACAGAAGGTGCTCCACACTCGCCACCATGGCTACTAGCAGCGCTGACTAAACCAACAAAGTTTAAAAGAGTACGTAGACCTTTTCGCTGTTTACAAAAACAGGTTCTGGACGGCTTCCACTTTTGTGGCATCGGCGATGAACGAAAGCCTCAGTGAATAGCCCTCTCATTTTCGAAACTTTTCTCCCTGTGATAGGTCATACATTTCAAATATATTTTTTTCTAAGCTACAAACAATATTACAAGTGTTAGCACTTAACTTTGAGCACCTTCTCTTCATCTGAAAGTGGTGGAAGAGTTTTCCTTCACTATAACACAACTTAAAAAACAAGCTTTCTTCTTTCAGCGTTAAACAGTGGTCACTGAGGTGGCCGGAAGTTTATTGGGAAGCAACACTTGCTGCTGCTATTGCAATCTTGAAACCGAGCGAAAAAGAGAATATACCCCGTTACGTGGACGGGCGATGGTCACTGTAGCTTAGTTGGGAGAGCACCGGATGTGCTATGTGAAGTACCTAAGCTCCGTCCTTGCCAGCGTCAAGTTATTTGTTAGTCCACTTTACGTGCTTCACATTTGCATCGTAATAAGTACTAACCTCCCCCATACTTTCCCTGGAATCACTGTCTGCTAGTTCTAATTAACACTGTGGCTAGCAAAACAATTAGGCCCTAGAAAATCTTTTTCTTTCGTTAATTTCGAGAGTGTTGCAAGCGTGGCGACAGAGACAATGCACACATTAGCCAAACATGCTGATCACTTGTGAGAATGACGGTGCAAGAAAATGCAGGACAAAATACTTGCCTGTTTCGACTGAAAAAGAACCTCCTGGCGAGGAAGACGAGAGGCACAGTAATCAACGAAGGAACCAATGCACAAAAGCAAGCCAGAAGCTCTCTTAAATAGACACTAAAGTGAGATAATCGGTTTAAATTGCTAATTTCCCTCTGAAAAACTATGTCATTAGATTTGCCATCGTAGCTATACTAACAGAGCAGAAAATCAAAGTCAATGCCTTATTTTATAATTTCATGCAAAAATATTCACGCATGAGACATGGATTTCAAGGTGACTTGCCGAATGAATTAGGTTACGGCCAAATATGGCTGAATTAATGCGAGTTTGGTGATAAATAGGTATGCTTGCCCGGACCAGTGAACATGTCTGAATTATCCTCTTTTCCAAGTTAATGGGCATCAAAATAATCAGATTTTATGATAGTACACTTGTTATCTTACATTCTTGAACTTCTCCCCTAGGCTTGTGCGAATATTTGAACACTTTGAATATTGAAACAAATATAGCAGTATTCAAATTTTCTTTGATTCAAGATAAAATTCTTGAAAATTTCGAGGTATTCAAAATGAACAAATATATGTATATAAATATTCATGTAACTTCTTGTAAAGATGGTTCCACTGCAGTGCAGGTGTGCTAAGTCACAAAAACATCTATCTAGGAGAAATCCATAATCGTGAAAAGCTTATTATCAGGTTAAACAAACATATCCACCAAGCATGGATTCATCCTTTTTAAAGTTTATATTTTTGTTATATATCAGCTATATATCAGGTTACCCATTTGAATTTTATGAAAGTCAAATTTTGCTATTGTGCCAAGTTGTTTCCATTTCCTTTGAACCAAAAAACAAACCATTTGCACAGACATCACTTCAATTAAAAAAAATATATTGTGCAAGTTAGTCAAGACAAAATAGGCCCATTTTTCTTTATAATATGTGATACATACCACTCCAATTCGATTCGAAAATATTAGAACCCAATCACTATTCACAGAGAATTCACTTTGAAGCTAGAATTCACTGTTTGCAGAAGCCAATTCTGTACACTTTATTATTTTTTGTCGCATGGATATTGGATGGGCGGTCCGGATCCCGTGAGCTACTATTTCTTTCAATGTTCTTCGACCGACATAGATATTGACATTTTCTGATTAGTCAATAACTCTGAACCACTTATAAACCACTCAACATTTTTTCATATTCATCCTGAGCAATGCCTTTTTTGGGCCTGCAAACTACTTTGAATAAATAAATTCAATAAAAAGTCACAATTAAACCAAAAAACTGAAGCAATGAATGCAATAGCAACAAATTTAATGCTATACGAATTGAAGCTCTTTTGAATGCAATCTCCCGCAACTCTACAAAATGCTGGAGTATAAGAATACGGTAACTACACGAACACTTCTCGCACCGTCTCATCGCGTTGAAAGCGAAGCACGTAGAAGGGTGTAGTCGAGATGCCAGCTGATGACTGCTGCGATGATTAGACAACGCGCATGCCAGCCATTACCACACCCACAAAATCAAAGGTGGCAGCTGCTGCTAGAGGGTACTCTCCCAACTCTCAGTCGCGCTTTTTTTTTCACGCTCAATAAAGATGGGTTTACTCTCTGCTTGAACTTTCGACGGCCAGCCTAACAGACGGGGGGATGTTATCACGTGCACCTTCGAGTGACGAAGATGGGCTGGCTCGTTTGACGTCTGCTTCAGTTACGTTCACCGCGTCGGCTCGCACGCTACTACCCATGGGTAAAACGCATGATGCGCTGGTGCAATTAAATTCAACATTATATGGGACATTATGCCGGCAGCAAAACCCCTGTGGATACTGTTTATATAATTACTATCAGAATAATAAATAAGTAAATCAATAAATATGATGAACCCAGGAATGAAAAACACTCATGACACTCCTACAAGCAGTGTTGCCCCCCCCCCCCCCCCAAATAATAAAAGGAGTATCGAACGATTTCGATGCACCGAACTTTTCTGTTTTTGTGGTATGCAGCGTTCACGATCTCCCATCTCAGGAGTCTGACAACACATACGATAACTTACTACAATTTTAAACTTCTCATCACAGTCCGAAACCTCCAAGGCAGGCCAACCGCTATGGACGTCATCACGACGAGTCAATACAGTTGCATAGAGTTTGCAAGCTGACAGCCATGGCGTAGCTGCTGCTGCTACTAAATCGTGATTAACCATCTCCCAGTGACCTCACAACGTGTTTAGAAGTCACTGTGAAACTGTCCCTCTAACATCAAGACCAAAAGTTTTTCTTAAGGTAGCAGTGGCAAAATATATAAGATGCATTGCCAGGACGATAACCTTCTTGTTATTGGCACGGCACCGGTGTTCTTATTTATTAATAATAAGTTTATTTGCCATATTTGTGAAATACAGATAGGGGAATTGTAGAAAAAAAGCCATCTCCACATTTAAAACAACTATCCGAAATTATTAAACATTTTTGCCAGTACTCGTTTATGAATGAATATACGAACAGCACAAACATGAAGCATGAGACAAAGAAGGAACACATACGACGACATGAACGACACCAATTCTTTAATTTCCTGCGACTGCCACGCACGCACATTGGCAACCAGCAGAAGGCTGAGTAGGTCAATAAACATCACCTAATCTTTTTTCTGTCTCCTGCTGATGGTTCATGTATACTGTATACACCCGTGTAAGGACCGCCCTTTTTTTCCGTGACTTTGATGGGGTGCGGCACATCAACGTAAGTGTGAAAGTTTTGTTCGAATTTTTATTCCACGTATGAAAAACCCTCTTTAATCGCACCATATATATACCTAACAATGGGACATCTGGTGTCCCTCTGTGGACATCCTCGATAGAAGATTTCGTCGGTATCACTGCTCGGGTTCGGCTCAATGCCACTGCTCGGGTCATCCACACATTCAGGTATCCAGACGTCCTCAGTGTCGTCCATGGGACTTGCGATCCTGGTGACCTTATAAACCCTTTGCAACAATGTCTGCGGACACCGCACAACTCGTGTTCAGAATCAAAAAGCATACCAGCTTAAGTGACGCCCTTCTTAGTTGTGATAAGGCTGCTGTTTGCTGGCAAGATTTTTTTTTCTCGAAATTTGAACTTACAAGTGATGGGGAGGGAGGGGGAAGAGGGGCAGCCCTTAGTTGAGTGTAGACCGTACCTGTATATGTGGCAAACGCAGGAAGCAAGGAGTTGACAGTCAGTACTCGCGCTGTTGCACGCGTTCCTTCCTCGTCCTGTGCTTTAAGTTCGCCCTGTTCTTACCAATATGGTTCCCCAACTGGCCCAGCCAGCTTCACCTCTGGAATCTTTTAAATACGCTGAATTGAACTAAACAATGGAAGGCATTCGAAGGCGCCCTCGATAACTCACCGGTCGGCGACATGGGGCTCCCACTGGAGCACCACTCGGAGAATGGGCGCCGGTGCAAGGTCCCTGGACGTCTCCAGCAGGCAGTCCACGAACTCCAGAAAGAGAGGGTGGTCCACGTCTGCCGGAAGTCTCTGGTTTGCGTCCCACACCAGGACATCCAACCTGTTCACCAGGTCCTGCACCAACGGAGCCCAAAGACAGTGAAAACTCAAACACACGAAAGTGCGCACTTTGGCATGCTGGAAATCAATGAGCTTGGTATGAGAAAAAAATTTCACTGGAAGGGACAAGCAACGAATGCGACAGGGACATATTGGAATGTTACAGGGGATATGACATAGACCATAACTTGCGTCATGTGGGCAATACTCTTGCGTTCACAGCCAAGAAGGTGGAACTTAGTGTATTTGGTTGAGCAGTTGTTTTATAATTAGTCAAGCAGCCTGAAAGTTGGGCAACGTGGATGCACTTGCAAGCTGTGACATAAGAAACCGCTTGCTGAGCATTCTGGCAAACAATTTTGTTCAATGCATGGAGTTTCCTACTACAGCAGAACCTTGTCGACACGTTTGCGAGCCCCGCCGCGGTGGTCTAGTGGCTAAGGTACTTGGCTGCTGACCCCTAGGTTGCGGGATCGAATCCCGGCTGCGGCGGCTGCATTTCCGATGGAGGCGCAAATGCTGTAGGCCCGTGTGCTCAGATTTGGGTGCACGTTAAAGAACCCCAGGAGGTCAAATTTCCGGAGCTCTCCAGTATGGCGTCTCTCATAATCATATGGTGGTTTTGGGACATTAAAACCCACATATCACTCAACACGTTTTCGAAAAATTGCGGAGAATAAACATACGATCTGAGAAAACACACAATCTGAATCCAGCAGAAATTGAGGCTGACAAGTTCATGTAAAGCGTAAGGGCAAAAAAAATTTATTTCTTAAAGAACAGTAATTTTCTACTGCTGCCTTTAACCCATGGACAAGAAAAGCTCCTTTTGCACACATTGCCGACCCTTGTTCACCTTTCATTCATTTCATTTCATTTATTTATACTGTTAGCCCAGAAGTGGGCCGTTACAGGGTGGAAGTACAAACAATTATTTGCAAAAAGAAGTACCGTACAGGTCTCGAGATAATTTCTCGGTATTATTGTGACCAGCAACTCGAAGTTATACATAACATACATAAATGGAACACCTTTTCATAGCTTTTTGTGTAAAAGTTTTTGTAAAGCTTTCAGGCCATCAAGGGCTTCGGCGAAGTTAGCCGGTCAGCGCACGCTTTCAATCTCATTGCTGTCTTTCAGGTGCGTCATCTCCCACCTGCCTCACTGCGTCGCCTCCCACCATCTCCACAACAACCTCGGCGACACTTTGCAGGTCGCAACTCGAGACGTTGTCGTCTATCGAGATGAACCCGGCGAAGGGCGCATCAGCGCTGGTGGAGAGGAACTCCTCATCGATATCACCGTCCAACGCGCACACCACAGGGCCGTGTTCGCTGCACTCTGTATCCTTCGATGCAAGCAGCCGCCGAAGGACATTCAGCTTCTCCTTTATCTACAAGGGCTTGCGCGTCTCCGACGCCATGCTGAACGCAACTGCCGAGCACTGAGCAACCTGCAGCCCTGCACAGGGCCCGGTTTTCACATCCTTAAATTTTTTTTTTCTCCTCAAAGTAGCGACAATGACTGAGGCCCCCTGACGACGACTCTCATTGGGCGGCACTCGTTTCCAGTGGAGGTTACCCTGCAAAGTTGCAGACACACGGAGAGGCATGCATCGTGTGCTAATGAGATGGGAATTAGCAATAGAGTTTCATACCATAATACCTAGAGAGCAATCTGCCACTGCAGTTGTGAACCACCATGGGAATTATGAGAAATACAGACTTCGGATTGGATAGATTTAGCTAGTGAACTGTCTACAGACTTTTTTCTACAGTTTCAGTTGCGCTCTTCACGGAGCGCAGGTAGTGGTGTGCGGTAAAACAGGCTGAAGCAGTGCCTTTGTTGCTCGAAGAGGCTGACGACCACTAAATCTCCTGATTTGCTGCGACGTTTGAGCTTTGAGAGTTGTATTTATCAGTTTAAACGAAGCGTCGTCCACTCACCGCTGTGCCTGGATGTAGCGTCTCATGCCAGTGCAAGATATTGCCCCGCGTTCATGCTTTTCCCGAGCGCGTTTTGCCTAAACTGGTTTTAAATCGACTGCAATGCGATGACGAAGCTAAGTAGATGCACCGCCACGGTCTGCTGACTCGACTTCACAACAAAATCAGAGGTGCGTTGGGGGAAGACTGCTGGGACAGACGCACCTAGCGTCGTAGAAGAAGAAACAATAAGTGTTTCCCACTCAATACTGTACTGTTATTTCCATAAAAAGATAATGCATACTTTTGAGAGAAAAACAAGCTCATTTGTTTTCAAGTGTTGTAAAAAATAAATTATTAAATCTTGATGCAAAATCTGGAACGCAATGGCAGAATGACGCATACCCTGATGATAAAATTTGCCCAGGTTTCACTTTTGTAGTCGGATAACAAAAATTTTTTTGCAATAAAGTTTGCATACAAACAATTGAAACAAGTTTCAAATAAATTTAAGTTCATATCACTTTGTTTTGCACTCTGAAAAAAAAAAAAAAAAGCGCTGTGAATCGCAAGAACGTAATCCATACGAAGCAGATCCGAAGCCTGTACTTCCAATAATTCCCATGGGGGTACAAGCGCCGCTGAAGTAGCCCACGTAGACACTAGGGCCAGATTTCCCTCTGGGTATTATTGTATGAAACTTTATGGGATTAGCGGAGGGGAGATAGGCGCGTCGTGTTTGCGTCTTTCCCGCTGAAAGGTGGGTGGCTGACATACCTAAGTGCGCGTGGCTTAGTAAATCTTCTAACGGCAGAACATGGTGGCAGACGCCAGCAGTGCGTGAAATAAGGTCGGGAGAAGAGGCAGATGTAGCGGCACGTTGTGTAGTGGGGGCAGCACGTGCCTGCGTCTCGTGCGAAAGCGTGACGACTGGAGGTGACCGACAACGCATCTATTCTTTGTGTCACATGGTTAGCTCCGTAGTGATCTCTAGGCAATTGTAGTGAGGGACGATCGTATTTTCAGGTACCGTGATTTGGATCAAGGCTTTGCAGTGCTCAGCGATACCATGTCGATGTGCCAGCTGAGAAACAAAATCGCTGTGCTGCCGAAAATAAAAGGTGTTTTTCGAAAATCGTTTGAAGACTCTGACGGCACAGACAGGTCTGTGTGTAGTTACAGACAGCTGCAGGAGTGATGGAGAGGGCGACCGGGCATTCGAAGAAAGCGCGAAGGAGACGATTGAGGAGAAGACTCAGGGGATGGCGGGAGTCACAATTAAGTGCAGCAAAGAAACCTCCGTTGCCACGCGGTGACAGTCTGCCACTCGGCGCTTCACAAGCACGCCAGAGCGGTGTCTTTGCACACCTGAATGGGAATTTGTGCATGAGGAACGTATCATACGACCGCAGTTTGCCGCAATCCCGAACATTGCTGCCAAATAAACGTATTTTCCGGGAATGTCTTAAGTGGAGCGCATTAACAGATAGCTTTAGGGGGGGCATTTCTAGTTTTTGCAATTTCGTGTATAGGAGCTGAGAAATCGGAAATGTATCCACAAGGTTCTGCTGTATTACTTAGAGCAAACTCTGGTGCTGGGATCACTCACACACCATGGGAATAATATGCAGTATATGGATTTGACAAATTATTGTGCTTGCAGCTTTGAACGCACTAGTGGCTTTGTTTATTGTTGAGCTTTGGCATTTGTTTTACATAAAAGAAATAATTAGACTTGTGTGAATATTCGAATGCTTCAAATATTCGAGCGAATAGTATCTAAATTCGTTCGATTCGAATTTAATTTATCGAATATTTTGAAGTATTCGATATGAACGAATAGAACTATACTAATCCCTGTGTAACTACCTGCAAGGGCAGTTTCACTGCATTGTAGGAATGCTAAGCCGTGAAAGCACCTTTCCAAAAGAAATTTGCTCTGCTACGAAGCCCCACTTCAGCTTTACAGGGGCCCTGCAGCAATGATTAAGCATGGACAGCAAACGCTGCTGATCGGTATTCGAGGCTACGGAGAACATGTGAGCTTAATATTATAGCGCAGCACGCGACCTAGAATTCAGAATAAATTCTCAGTCAGATAAAAATTGCTCTCATTTCTCGGCAAACGATGCCACTAGGTCAAAAATCACTCGTCACAGCCATTGTATTAGCCATTGGCTGATTTGAGCATGGGGCGCTTGGTTGTTATTGGGGCCGCCGCAGGTAGCCGCGACTTGTCCACACGTACATGTGCGATCGCACTGAAAAGCCGCATATTCAAAGAAAAAGAAAAGGAAAACAATGCTCGAGGTCACGACGCGCACGTGACGTACCAATGCCATCTTTCGCGGCTTTGCTTCAAGTGCTTTCGTCGAGACAAGAAGAGGGAATGCAATTGTAGCATGCGGCAAATAGCTAAACTCTACTCATACTGGACAGGTTCAAAAGTTTTTGCAGTGGTTAATTCGTGAGCCAATAAGCTTCTTTAGTGAATCCATTCCATGGCTGTTGAAGAACCCTTTAAATGAACATATGATCCTCGAATCGATTGACCATTTTTTAAGCTTAAAACCTTGCTTTTCTAGCTTATACACTCTAACTGTAATGAATAATGTTACATATTTTACAGGTTATCATTCGCATCCTACTGAAAGTCAAATCCTGCTACTTCTTGAAGTTGTTTCGACTTCCTTTGAATGAAAAAGAAAAGAAAGCACTTGCATAGGGGCTTTATTTCAATTAACAAAAAATATTGTGAAGGTCAGTTAGGTCATGATAAATATGTCCATGTTTCTTTATACATTAGTAAATGTATTCAAGTTCGATTCAAAATTATTCGACCAAAACCACTCTTCGCTTCAAGTTCGCTTTGAACCTAACATTCACTATTCGCACAAGCCTAGAATTAATCATTGTGAACTGTGTGAACCAAATTGGTAAACCTAAAAGGGTCAAAATCTTGAAGTGGGACTGCTGAATGTTTGCTGAACTCCTTCCGGTGACTACGCAGATGCAGGCAACACAGTGCAGAAGGGGGCCAAAGGAGCGAAGTTTAGACAAATCAGTGCACTGCCCACCATTCCAATGCTTGCGGAAGTGCCACGCATTGCAACTGCCATAGAGACTAGCACCTTAGCTTTCTCTAGTGTACTTATAGGAAACTACTGTTCCATGGTCAGCTGTGCGTGCAATCGAACTTATTTCGGATATGTTCAGCTGAAAAATGAAAAACACACCGAAACGTTTTCTGGGTTTGGACCAGGAGCAGTAGAGCTACAGCTCTAAAAAAAAATTTCAATGTCAACGCCAAGTCACGTAAAGCTTGGCACAGCGAAGCACGGGCCTGTCGCCGTTCGTACGTCCGACTGACTCGCACATAGGGCTTTGAGATGCCTGCCTTGCACCTCATCATTCTCTTGTCCATTCTCTCGCTACACTAATATTAATCGTTCGGGTTTAATCCCGAAACCTCGATTTGATTACAAGAGACACCGCAGTGGAGGGTTCCGGAAATTTTGACTAACTGGTACTCTTTAACGAGCACCTAAATGAAAGCACATGTACCTCAAGCATTTTCGCCACTATCCAAAATGCGGCCATCACGGCCCTTGCTAAAATGTATTATGCAAGGTTGTGCTACGTTCCACAAGCATGCCTTGCTAACCAAGTGTTAGTGTGGTTTTTAAATCTCGCCTTCAGAAGAATGTTTTTTTTTTTTTTTCTGACAAGAAGTGTTCTTTTTTTTGTATCTTGCTTTTTGTCATTCTGCTTCTCTCCCTTCTTTCTCTCCTTCGATACTCAATCTCCGGGCTATAACAGGCCACGTCATAGAGGTGAGTAATAGAATTTGCCCAAACTTTGTGGCACACGGCCGTTCATGATCGTGATAAGTTTTCCAGCATGGTCGACACAAGGACTGGCTTGAAAACAGCCTCCCCACTTGAAACAGTAGCGCTGCCAAACGGTCCTTGCCTGGTCCTTCGGTGCAGACTGCCTTGATGTGGGAAGGCCCTCCAGCAGCTTCCTCTTCAGCTCCAACACTGACACCTCACGCGACACCCAGGCCGCTCGTGTGGCACCGAGACTGTCCAAACAGAAACAACAAAGCAAGAATAATGCATGTTGAATAATTGAAGTTTTTGCGCACACACACAAGGACACAGAAGAAGGGAACACAAGGACCAGCGCAGACTAACAACTGATTTTTATTCAGTAAGAAAACAGAATATATACACTTACTTGCACCCCATGATCACCGCGCATGAGCAAAAACGGCATCGTACAATCTTAAAAACCAAATATCACATGTTGTTCAGCAATTCAATTTCTTTTTCACTAAGCGATATCGACGGATGGCTGACGCACATATCTTTAAGTCTAGAGATGTGCCACGCTTCTACTATTTCTCTTGTTGTCTGATTTGGGTGTACATACACCACCTCAGTTTGATCAAACAACGGCTTACATGCACTAAAAGAACAACGCGCACAGTGCAGTGCTAAATGTGTTTCCGGCCTCCCTTTCAAGTTGGTCATGTGCTCCTTCAATCTCACATTTAAGCATCGGCCAGTCTGACCGACATAAAAGTTCCCACAACTGAAGGGGGTCTTATAAACTACCTTTCTTTTGCACTCAACCACCTGATGACCTGCACGCTTGGAACAATTGCCTCCGATATCCCTCGTCCTTTCCTCGTACAGATTATTTACAGCCGGACACACGCCCCCTAGTTTGTTCTTTGCCGAGAATACAACTTTGACACCATATTTAGCTGCCACCTTCTTAAGTTTATGGGAGAAACCATGCTCGTAGGGGATTACCGAAATTTTCTTTGTATCTTGGCTTCTTTCCTCTTTCTCCCCGGATTTCATTTTCTTCATTAATCTTTCGCTTGCAGTTAGAAGAAACGAGTTAGGGTATCCTGCCTTTTCCAGCTTTACCTTCTGTTCAAGGAAAGATTCTTTTAACTTGTGCTTACATGTTTTTGTAAGAGCTGAATTGAAACACCCCATTGCTATACCGTTTTTTACTATCCTTGAATGGGAGGAAGCGTACTGCAACAGGGGCTTCTCTGTTCTAGGCGAATACTTCCAACACACATGGTTCTTTTCAAAAACAAGCTTCATATCTAGGAACTGTAAACAGTTTTCGGTGGGTTGTTCAGATGTAAAAACTAGGCCTTTGCCTCTCCGTCTGAAAGTCTCCATTACACTTGTGGTGACAGCATCCCAGTCTGTGTCTACACCCAAAATCAAATAATCATCAACATATCTGAATATTTTTAAGGACTTGCCACCCAAATCAGAATCCACCAGTCTGTCAACTTTGCTCAAAAAAATTGTACTCAGTACAGGGGCTACCTTGGATCCAATACACACTCCATTCTTTTGACGGAACAGTCTATCTTGAAATAGTACAACCGTGCTGTCCAAGTACATGCAAAGTAATTCAAGAAACGTTTCTAGTGACATTCCACTGCGATTACGGAAGGCCACTTCATCATTGTCCCGTTCAATGCACTCTTTCACAGAATCTAGCAGAGCATCCTGCGGCAAAGAGTAGTATAAATCTTGAATATCAACACTAAAACCCTTGTAGCTGCCTTCTTTAACTCCCGATAAATACGATATCACCTCCTCAGAATTCTTGACGACAAACGGGTCCTTAGGAGACAAGGACGCTAGTAATTTTTGAAGAAACCCAGATACATCTGAAGTTTTTACATCTGAACAACCCACCGAAAAATGTTTACAGTTCCTAGATATGAAGCTTGTTTTTGAAAAGAACCATGTGTGTTGGAAGTATTCGCCTAGAACAGAGAAGCCCCTGTTGCAGTACGCTTCCTCCCATTCAAGGATAGTAAAAAACGGTATAGCAATGGGGTGTTTCAATTCAGCTCTTACAAAAACATGTAAGCACAAGTTAAAAGAATCTTTCCTTGAACAGAAGGTAAAGCTGGAAAAGGCAGGATACCCTAACTCGTTTCTTCTAACTGCAAGCGAAAGATTAATGAAGAAAATGAAATCCGGGGAGAAAGAGGAAAGAAGCCAAGATACAAAGAAAATTTCGGTAATCCCCTACGAGCATGGTTTCTCCCATAAACTTAAGAAGGTGGCAGCTAAATATGGTGTCAAAGTTGTATTCTCGGCAAAGAACAAACTAGGGGGCGTGTGTCCGGCTGTAAATAATCTGTACGAGGAAAGGACGAGGGATATCGGAGGCAATTGTTCCAAGCGTGCAGGTCATCAGGTGGTTGAGTGCAAAAGAAAGGTAGTTTATAAGACCCCCTTCAGTTGTGGGAACTTTTATGTCGGTCAGACTGGCCGATGCTTAAATGTGAGATTGAAGGAGCACATGACCAACTTGAAAGGGAGGCCGGAAACACATTTAGCACTGCACTGTGCGCGTTGTTCTTTTAGTGCATGTAAGCCGTTGTTTGATCAAACTGAGGTGGTGTATGTACACCCAAATCAGACAACAAGAGAAATAGTAGAAGCGTGGCACATCTCTAGACTTAAAGATATGTGCGTCAGCCATCCGTCGATATCGCTTAGTGAAAAAGAAATTGAATTGCTGAACAACATGTGATATTTGGTTTTTAAGATTGTACGATGCCGTTTTTGCTCATGCGCGGTGATCATGGGGTGCAAGTAAGTGTATATATTCTGTTTTCTTACTGAATAAAAATCAGTTGTTAGTCTGCGCTGGTCCTTGTGTTCCCTTCTTCTGTGTCCTTGTGTGTGTGCGCAAAAACTTCAATTATGCAGCAGTACCAACTAGCCCGTCTTTCCGTATTATTGCAATGCATGTTGAGACCAACAGGAATGACCAAAGCAAGTTTACCACGGGACATAGCACTTACTCTTTTTCTTTTCTCCCTTTATTCCTTGTTAGACACAATACATCCAAACCTCACTATAACAAATTTGTATCTTACATGAAAATAAGTTTGTTATATCTAAAAATTCATTATAAAGATATATTCCTAACACTATACTTATTGCAAGACTTTGTTTTTATTTACTTTACTATAAGCAATAATTCGTCATATCTGGAATTCTTAAATCAAGGTGTGAGCGTAATAATTGGAACGAGCAGCAAATAATGCCGAGGCAAGCACAGTAGACTCTCTATAAGACAAAACCTGAAAGGACCGAGAAAATATGTCCCATTTAACGGGAGTTCCGTTTACAGAGAGATGAACAAGGGTGCAGTGTGCAGGGACGAAACCAACAGTTTCATCAAAGCAGCAGCTCCGTTTAACAGATATCCATTTGCTGATTGTCTACTGTACATATAGGGGATTTTATTTGTAGTTTATGACATAAATGTGAAGAAAGTAAGAGTGAGCAAAAAAGATAACTTGCTGGTGGCATGAAACGGAGCTGCAACCATTAAATTTGAAGGTACCATTTCACTAGTGAACACTTTGGACATTAGACTGCATATTGCAGGGCGTGTGATTGCCAGCCTGCCTGAAATCCATTGGGAGTGATCTTCAGAAGTGAAAATGTGCTTACTAGAGAAATTCTAGAGGCACCCAATGTTGCTCGTTTGTGAGAGGCATTCTTCGGCATGCCTACCATTGATTTGCAGAAAAAGGGAGTATATTATATTTTGTATGCATATGCTTAGAGTCTCCAACTTTTTAATTTTGCCACCTGTTAGCATTCGTGTCGAGTAGTTGTCTCACATTATTTTGTGCAGCACAATTCTTCTGCACATACGAGTCTTTTCTGAATCGAAAACTACCTTGTTCAAAGTCGGCGCTTATCCATGTAAGTTTGCGCTCCTTCGTGTTTTTTTTTTTTGCGATGTTGAAATTTTTATGAGAATTATTTTCATGACCAGATCTGGATGAAAATTTTCCCACATATTTCTTTATCCTGTGAAGAGTGCAATTATGTGTTTTAAAACTTCTCATCACTTACATAATTACTACAAACTTCAAGTAAATGGGCTAAACATTTTAGGTCTTCTCATATAAAGTTTCTTATTCATGAAAATGTCTTATACAAACTTTCTAATGCACTTTCTACATTCTACAGTTAATGTGGTGCCATGTAAGCCATTAACTACTCATAAACATTTAACTTCAGTGACAGAAAAACTGTGTCTAAAATAGCTACACATTTTACACATTGTAATGGTACAAAACAAAAACTATGCAACTTACTATAAAGCTGATTACATAGGTATTTTAGATCAGTGAAATTTATGTAAACAGCAGAAATCTTGTCTCCCCAGCTAGGAAATTGATCTCGCCTTAAACTTGATTTCCACATGGCAGACAAACTGACATTGATACAATGATGACACAAGGCTAGCGTCATTTCTGTTGACCTTAAGCACCAGCAGTGGTGGTCCTGACGAGGGTAGGAAAGAAAAGATTTGAAATGGCCACTAGTACTATGTCACCAAAAACATTTTCAATTTTCAAAAAGGTCACGTGTGTCGCCAACAGAGCTACGAACGTCATACCATGTCGTGACGTCAGGTTATAACACAAGGAGAAACCAGCTGTGAGAAGCTCATTTTAACTACTTCATCACGCACTCACACTTACTAGAGAATTTTATTGGCTATTGTGAACATGGTTTTTCATTTGATGCAAAAAAAAATTACCAAAATTTTCAGGTCAGTACCCCTTGAAAAAGACACTAAATAAGAACAATCAATCGGTTTAGATTGATAACATTATACTCTGAGAACACTTACATCATTTTCACAATCATAGGTTTGTTATTAAAGGAAGGTTAACGTTTGATTTTCAAATTTCGCGCTGACACCTCTGCGCGTGACGTCACGGATTCCAAAGTGCATGCGCCGTATTTTAGAGGCATCAGCTCAATGAAATTTCCTGAAACTACAACTATTCAGTTTACCACACCCTCAAAAAACAAAGCACCTAATTTTTACAGACTAGGAACTATGCAGGGTGCAGTAAACACCTTCAAAATCTATGACGTAACGACGTTTGGTGCAAAAATTTTGTTGTTGTATTTTCTTTTTTGCACGTTTTTTAACTTACAAGGTAAGCCCCTTGACAATGGTGTTGATTTTGGTATTATGAAAGAACAATTTCTTAATCCTGGAAAAATGTTTTTTCACTTCAGTGTCCCTTCATACGTCAAAGACGTTGCCTTACAACAATGTCCACAATGTCGAAGAAGAAAGTCGACTCACCAGGAACCAGACGCGCCGACCCTTGACCGACAGAAGACGAGGATCTGGCTGTCTTTGGGAACCGCCGGGTCAGTACTGGCGGGCGGAAGCTCCAGGGCGACCAGACGCGAGTTCACCGACAGAGCGCTGGCGATCTCATCGCCCTCAAACAACGAGCCAAACCCTTCTTTGGTTTCTTCCAGCAGGAGAAGCTGCACGTTTGCACATCACCGACGATGTCATTATCACAGGGACCACGACTGAGATGTAGCACACACACAGATAAAAAAAAAGAGCTCACAAACTCTAATTCTATTAAGAAAATGGCAAGGCTTAAGTGAGAGTGCAGCAAGCAAAGCTTCGAATGTGTGTTCCTGAGCTACTATTAAGGCGAGACCATTTAACGTTTCATACTTGCAGTGACCGGCCGCGTGGTCTGGATGCTAGCATACGCTACGTCAGCCTTCGCACTTGCTCTAACTTCTATTCAGCTTTTGTCAGCACACATTGCATGGGATCATACCTACAGTGGCACGAAGGGCCACCCCTAAAAAGCCTTTAAATGTGCTTAACATCCCTTAAGCTAACATCCCCAAATACAAAGTATTAATGGTACATTTCTTAAACATTGCGATAAAAAAATCAAAAACTACAGCGGAAGGTAGTTCAATACATCACAGCCTATGATGAACACCGACGTTGCATGTTTCAGCTTCACTGGTTATTAGTCAGGGTATTATGACTCTCTCCTCCTTACACTCTCTCAGCATTCACGCTATGGCACGGCAGCGCGCGTAGCCATGCTCCCTCCAGCCAGCAGTCAAGTCGGTCAGATGGCTCCCGTGTGCACGCGTCTTCCCTGTGGCCTGGGCACAATCAGCCCGCTCACGCAAGAAGGGATACGTTCTCATTGCGTTCTATTTTGACCGGCCCCGTTTCAATTGGCACAGGCGTTCGCCGAACATACCTTGGAATTTGCAAAATTTCCTTCAATTTTTTTTTCTTTCCTCAATATTTTTTTATCGCATAGCGCAATGCCCCCTTTTAACTTTTGTTCCTTCCTGCACGCCAAATATTGCACCATCATCTACTTGCTTAGCAGTGCAACAACTCAGTTGCAACAGGCAACAGTGACGGTCACGCGTCCGGGCAACACTGCGATGTGGCAACATCAAATGACAAGCCACCTCGTTAAAAGATCAGATCGCCACATCTAGAAAAGCTGACTGCCCACAAACCCTCTATTGAAAGAGCATCAACTACCACAAAAAGGTGCATACAAATATACATGCAACCAACACACCTTTCAGGACCACATTTCAGTGACCTTGCTGGCACTGGGTTTTTCACACATAAAACCACCACCAAAATCTGGAAGTCATCACCAATTTGCTTAATTGGCACAAGCCTGACCCCTCTGTCATAACCATGTGAGTACATAGAGACAAGCATAGCTGTCAGTTGTAACACTCAACTGCTTTGCTTAAGACTCTCTGCAAGCCGGACTCGTTCCAGTAAAATCTATGACATTCGGTAAAGCAGCTCATATAGGAGAGAGATGCACTGCATCAGTCGCTTTGCATCTGAAGCACATTAATTCAGTACTTTCCAAACACTCCTTGACAAATTTTGAAAACAATATTTTTATATTACTTTCATAAGCTTTCAGAATGCAGGTGCTTGTTATGAAAGCAAGGACAATTCCATTACATCAGTGAAGCAGGAACCAAATGCCCGAAATCCTTTGCCTAAGAGAAGAACCATCAACGCTGCCTTTCCACAGATATCGGAATGCTCCTAGAGTGCTCTCAAGTGTCAAACGTGGCATAAAATTTCAATCACACAGACTTGCATAAATAATATCGAGTCTTTGATAAAGTTCCCAAGCTAGATTCTAGTCTGTCAGAATAGCAACAACCCAATGCAGTAGAGTTTCAGTTATTAAACTTTGAAATGGCATGCAAAGTCAATTTCTAAGGTAAAACTCATCAAATGATATAGTAAATCCAAAGGCCTCCGGACACACTGCCACTTCATCTGACAGTATTTATTCATTTAACTGCAACCTGACTTGAAGTGTAATTTGTACTTCATTATGAGATGTTCAGGGTTGCTACCTATCAACAGGAGCTCATAGTCATACGTGCGTTCAGGTGCACAAGACTAGAAAATACTGCTCAAAACAGGACGAAAAAAGAGGAAACAAGCAAGCACTCCACAAGTTTTTTGTCATCATGATGCAATCTTTATAGCTGTTTTCTTGGATGTAGCTAACATAACAACTGGTGCAACTCAACATGTCATGCAAGGCTCACTCACTCAGACGCAACTGGACAACGAAATGGCAGTCACTGCCAATGCTCCAAGAAAATGCTGCACAACTAGAACGCTAATGCAGTTGATCAGCAAACAGCAATAAGTAAAAGCTGCAATTTGCTTTCTCAGTAATGGCCCGACTGAGTCGTAAGAAAAAAAAAAACAATGTATCAAAGTGTTTATAATAATTGATCAACTGGCATGCAAGACTTCTTTCTGTCTATTGTGACAATAGGCTCTACATGGCAAAATCCGAGACAGCAGCATCAAATAATTAGATGTAATGATCACTGCGTTTCAGCTCACAACTCAAGTCTGTGTGAACGTGCGTGAGAAACACCGCCGACAACTGACCTGGTCAGGTGGAATGTGGCACTCAGCGGCTATCCGAAGTCGCACTTGCTCCACTGGTGCCCCAAAATCCATGTGGAAGGCCAGCTTCGTCTTTACAGAGAGAAAAAGAAAGAGAGAAACAAAACGTATTTTTCTCTTAAAGGCGAGACTTCCTTCAGTCAAAACATTTTCAATTTTAGGATTTGGCAATTGCCTAATAAAGATTTATTTATCTTTATTATAAATATATCGCACTTGGGAACTAGCAGTTCAAAACAATTTCGGGTCTTTTCTGTCACGTGTTTACAATGAAATGCACGTGCACCTCTACATTATTTCATAATTTCTCTCATAACTACATTTTCGGATTTTGTGTAGCTTTTTCTCGGGAACTAGCGAGCGTAAACAAACGAAAATTTTCACATATGGTAATTAGTGCATTTACCTAACTCTACTAAAATCAGTAGCATAAGTGCACTGATATTTTTTAGTAAAAAAAAGAACATTCATAAGTATGTTTTCATACTCAAACATAATCATTTATTAAATCTAGTTTTGTTGTGCACTCGCAATTTTAGTTCCACTTCTGTAAAGCGTTAGAAGCTACTTTTTTTTGCTAAATTAAAGTGCTCCACAGATAGGAGATTTTTGTCAAAGAAAGTTAAAAAAATGTAATCACAATTTGAAACTAACTTCGAGCTCTAATGTGAGCTGTGTCTACATTCAACATACGTTGGAAATATTATAGCCATAGCTCTTATTACCGCTGCTGTACAGCGAAAGTCTGAAACTCCCCTTCGTAGTCTCGCCCCACCTTATCTAGCAACTTGACTGCAATGTGCCCGTTTTCTATTTTGCCTTCCGTGAAAACACAGTCACCACAGCCTGGTTTCCACTTAATATCTTGAGCCTAGCAAGGTCAATAATCACTCGTCTACTATGGCTGGTACAAGACAGCAGTGTTTACGTTCAGCTTCTGAAAACACCACTGTTTTCAGATACAATATGAATGAACTGTGCATCAAAGGAATGGTACTGGCCAACAACCAGTTTTAAGCACTAAAGGGGCCCTGTAGCACTTTTTCAAGTAGCCATGGAATGGATTTACTAAAGGAGCTTATTGCCTCACGAATTCAACAACGCAAAAATTTTTAGAATCCATCTAGTACGAACGGAGTTACAAAAATTTGTCGCATGCTCCAATTGCACTCTCCCTTCACTCGTCCCGACGAAAGCGATGCAAGTTAAACAGGGAGGAATGTCACGGAAAAAGAAAATACACCACGCGTGCCTCGTGTCCTTGAGCACTTCTCTCTTTTCTTTTCTTTGAATGCACAGCTTTTCAATGCGATCGCGCACACACGTATTGACAAGTCGTTGCATCCCGCAGCGGCCACAGTGATAACCAAACGCGTCATGCTCAAATCAGCCAATGGCTCGTACAATGGCTTTGACGAGCCATTTTCGAGCTTGTTGCCTCATATTTTGAAAGAGGAGAAAGCAATTTTAGCTTACCTTAAAAATTTTTGAATGTCAAACCGCGTGATGTGCTATAATATTTAGCTCGCCTCCTCTCGGGAGCCTCGACAACCAATCGGGGTTTTCTGACCGTACTGAAAAAGTGCTTGCTGGGTCCCTTTAACATAGTCACCCACGAAACCAGACAACAGAGAAATGGTCACCATCGTAGCACAACCACTAGTACACGACACACATAATTCAGAGGTTAACCCTTTCGGCCCTGGAGGTGTCAATCGACACCTGCCGACCAACATTTCCCCTAGCGCCCCGGAAACGAAACCGAAATTGCTAGTTCTTGGGGGGCCACTTTGTCAATGAACTCCGCTGGAATTGGCCCCAAAATTGTGGCATGTTTGCGGAGTTGGGAGCGGCAAAGAAAAAGCTTGACCAAAATCATGGTTGACACAGAGGCGGGTAAGTGCCATTTTCTGAATGAAGCACTGAAGCTGTTTCAATGACTATCACACTGCCAAATAAAATGCTGGTTTCTATTATCCAACACCATAGAGAAGCAGGAAAAAGAAGCCATTATTCTAATTCACAACCAACGAGCCCTGATGACCTACACTGATGCCACATTTGTAAATCCATAAATACATGCAACCTTGTCTCAATTTTTCGTTTGTGGTCTCTTGAGGATCTAGGTATAAAGAAGACATATACAAGAAATTTTCCAACCAAAATGAAAATTTCAGGGCTGAAAGAGCTAAGGCTTCGATGCCCATCGGTTAAAAGTTACTCTTTTATCAATTTCCATTTTTCTCAATCTCACGGTTATCAAATGCCAATCAATTAAAAAGCTAAAGATAATGACCCTTGCACTTCTTTATCTGTCACCTCCACAAGGTTATGTCCAACCAAAACATGCACCTCAATCGGTCTCCCTTCCTTCTCACGCAAGCCAAGCGGAGTTATCGTGAACGCACGTATACAAACAAAATTCCATATGTGACAGATGATGCGTTCATTGTGCACTTGGGCATGGGGGTGTCAGAAGAGGAACAACACGGTCGCAACGGTTTGAGATAACGGATGCAAATAAGCCTGAGCTATAACACTTTTGCTCTGGAAGCGAGCCCAGATAGCAACAGTGACAAATGCGATAGAGGTTAGTACAGTGGTGCGCAACATCGAGAAACTGTTCCCGATGCGACAACAAACAGTAACTTTGAGCACCATGCTGCAGATGAACTTCGTTTCCTTTTATCTTATCAATGTACTTTCACTTCCGCACAATCATTGTTGCAACTACGAGTTCAATTCAACAGTTGCATGTGGAATGGGGTGGAATGGGGTACATGAATTTGAGATCAGTGCTGGGAGCAGGCAAAAATTCTTTTTCTAGCAAGCTTGGAGCACCCAGAAAAATCTTTTGAAGCACTCAGAATGTTCAGATTAGATGTAGCACCACTTCACGGTACTTGTGAAGAAACGTTTGCCCAATGCTACATTTTTCAACCACTCAGATAAATTGTGCAACAGCCTCATTGTTGTAAAAACGATTGTACGGACATTTATCGATGGGTTCTTGCCGTCGACGTTGCAGTCATGTCCCATATCAAGTCGAAATTGATAACATCCACCAACGAACGGTAAGTTCTATCCGCGAGTAAAAGCGCACAAGCGGCAGCTACAAACGGGGCTGAAGCAGAAATTGAAGGAGCCGGCCCAACTCCGTCGCTCAGAGGGCGTATGCGATAACATCATCCAATCAGGAAGCTCTTCATCGAAGCAGAGAGGGAACACTGCGCCCGTCTTGAATGAGCATGAAAAAAACGCGAGCGTGGTGGGGGAGGGGAGTCGGACCTAGCGCTCGAGGACGGACTGTTTGCGGAACAGCAATGGAACAGAATGCCAGAGGTAAAAAACAAAGAAATAAATCTCACAGGCGGGGAGTTGCGTGGAACAAAGTGGACGTGACAGAGCCACTGGCTCGCGGCCGGTATGGGCAGCGAGAGACAGACGAACGGGTCAAAGGTGTTGCTCTGCTGGCCGCAGCGTGGGCACGTCAGTCGAAGCCGAAGCTGGCCCGCAAACAGCGACGCCACAGGGCTCCCTTGCCATGGAGTGGCGCCGCCAACCTTCACCGAGGAAGATCGACTCTGAAAAAGAAAAAAAAAACCAATTTGGCAAGCGTAAGCGCACATTATGCTACAGACCAAAACTCACATGAAAGGACAAGGAAACGCCGTTAATTTATTTTTATCATAGTAACCACAATCCCCATGGGCGTTACAGCAGGGAGGGATACGAGGGGAAAATAATATGATGTTTCAGTACATAACATAAATGATAATACTTCGAGCTTCACTAAAAAGATTTCACTATGCCCTTAAACAGTGACATTTCAGACATACAATATGAAGTTAGTTCCCAATGCAGCATCGTACTCACACAAATGTGCAAATATACTACCTCATTTCCTGCAGTAAACTTGAAAATATCTCATGTGAAGTTATTTCTGCTACAATTGACGGAAGCCTGTTGCATGGCCTATCGTTTTGGGGAAAAAAAAGTTAGATATTAAATGCTATAGTTCTGCAGGTTTCCAGTCAGATTTATAAAAGTATTGGATGAATGAGAAGAAACATTCACAAGACGATGTTTATAAACTGTAGACAACAGAACTTGGAAATCTGTGAGCACAATGTTACTTCACTGTAAGCAGCAAGCAGTCTGCAACATCTGATCATAGCTTGTTTGCTAGCCTCTACAGATTTTATTCTCCCTTACATTTTCTGACCTATGTAACCTCATCCACAAAATGCGAGCATTGCTCGTACAGTGTCAAGTGCTTGCGCCATGACCAAAAGCAAACACATTTTGACGGGAAGACTTCGCTTTTGCGTGACACGGCGTACAGGACAAACGACAGCTCAATGAAGGTTAGACATTGTACCCGCGGCATCCCTCTTTTCCTCTTAGAATCTTACTTTAGGTAACACTCGCAGTGTGTAAAAATTAATGAATCGTTATCTTCACTCCAGGCAATAACCACAAGGATAGTATAGGACCGCCGCTTTTTAAACTATACATAAACGAGATTGTCAAGATCAGCGACAAACCTAAATACATAATATACGTGGAAAACACTAGCCTATTCTTTACAGGTAAGAATATAAATGCCATGGACACACTTATAAATGCCACGTTAGAAAACAAACTCCTGGAGAGAACGAAATTCCTTACAAAAATTAAAGCCGTAGTGTTTCACTCGCGGAGACAGTTTTTTTTAAGACAGTAGATTACGTATAGGTAGCACGGAAATTGAAATTGTAAGAACTTTCAAAACTTTAGGAATGCTTTTCGATTGCTGAATGTCATGGAATCTGCAGATTATTAATATAGTTGCCAAACTATCAAAATGTGTGGGTATACTTGCACAAATTCATTATTTTCTTCCAGTTTCTGTTAAGCTAACACATTATAACTGCTTGTTTTTATCACATGTAAACTATACAGACTACAAAAGAAAGAAAGTAATTAGATTTACAACAAATGTCGATCACTAAGCGCACAGTGAAAAACTGTTTAGGTGATTTAAAATCTTCCCAATTTATAAGGTTTATGAGTATTCAGTCGCAATAAGACATAAGCAATCTCTTTTTCATAACTGTACCTTTCTAGATATCTCTACTGGAAACAGGTTTTACTGCATACCAGATTTGTCAACAAAAACACTGGAACCTTCCATTCTGTAGAACTAATTTTGGGCAACAAATGTTCTATTTTAGTCTTCCTCTGGTATAAAATAAATTACTTCAGGAATAATAACAATTTAAGAATACAGTCCACGTGAAATTGGGGGTGTGCTTTTATAGTGAAAGTCGAGAAATGGCAGCCCAAGTATTAATAAAACTGCATAAATGTGTGTGTGTGTATATATCATATATATATACATATGTATACATTTATTAATTTACTATCTCTATGCATAACACTGTTATTATATATGCAGTATTTTGTTTTTATGTCGTATTTTGCACTAAACCTTTGAATCTGTCCGGTAAAAACTGCTTATATATATTAGTTTCAGTGCATATAGTTAATGTAAGTGCTTTTTTTTTCTTCTTTTGTACAGCGTCAAACACCTGACGATATATGTAAACTGCCTATGTTCACAGCCTATGTTCTATAATCTATGTTTACACATGTCCTCGTTGCTTACCACGTATTAGGCTCGCGTTCTCATCAAGTGACACGGGCCTGCCGTCATCCTTGAGATGAAAATAAATTGAATTTAGATTGAATTGACTCTCTTCATCAATGAATTAGACAATAAGTCTCCATAGAAAGTGGCCGGTAAAATACAACGCCACCAAATACAGTTGTAAAAAAAAAAGAAACAAGTTTACACATAACATTAGCTTAATGCTGCAGTGCAGGAACATAATCAGTAATTCCTCAGAACAAAAAAAAAAACCTAAATAGGAGGCATGCCTGGTAGTACTGCTGGTGCGACAACCACTGAGCATTAAACCACTACCTTTGAATTATCAGAGAGAAGCTGCTAAAACTTTTTATAGTCAATTATCAACTCCTCCCCCTGCCTTCTGATACCTAATCACACTTAGTAAAGAGAGACGGATCCATAGCTCCCACACTTTGGACATAACACATTTCTTTAGTCATGCTAGTGCGCCTGAAAACACTTTTCTTCCATGCGCAATAGAGATATAGAATTATCTTCACCCACTAACATCCACCTCTTATCAGTGAAAAATTTGTTGACTACCACAGGCAGGCATCTCACTAACGCATAAATTGCTTCACATTTATGCATTCTTCTTGTTTCTGACCGTTTCTTTCATCACAACTAATTCACATCACAACTAGTTGGTAGCATCACAAGCATTGTATAAGTTCCCACTATTGCAACAGCCCAAAATGTCAGCCATAGCATGTGCAAATAAGTACCAAAGCCCAAAATGTCAGCCATAGCATGTGCAAACAGGTAACGAGTAAACTGCGTAACTATGTGCGCATCCAATGAGTCAGCGCTGAGCAATGAAGTGTGCGCTTTGTCTCCAAGCTAGACATTGAACATGATTACAGATCCTGCCGCTAAGAATCAGGCCCAACAGAAGTTTACACACAAAGGAAAAAAGAGGAACGACCCACAACAATGAACGTTTACGGCTTTGATGTTGGCAGTAAATGCGACAGCGTCTCAACACATCGGTGCAAGCAGTGAGGACAAAGTTCCACAATCCCCCCCCCCCCCCCCCCCCCCTACTGAGATAAGATGCATGCGTGGTCATTTTCTGCTTGAGTATTGCGCCACTATCTCGCCACGGACGTAGATTCCAAGCTGTTGACAGCGATATCTGCAAATTCCTATCTTTCTCGTAAACAAAAGACGAGATGTGAATGAGGCCGCCACATCACCTGCGATGAACCTCCCAACAGAACACTGTCCGCATATCGTACTTGGAAAAAAAAAAAACTGTCATGCACAAGTGACATAAATGTACAGACATAAGCGAAACGCACTGGAGCAGTGAAATTCCCTTTAAAGAAATCATGGTGACTAAATGCAGTCAGCAAGCGCAAAAATGTTCATGTCATTACATGTTTAGTCAGTACATTACAACAAGTAATCACTGAAAACAGATGAACTTTTTTTTGTTTCCGCTCATATGGCTCACGACAGCACATGTAACATTGACAACTAGACAAGCCCTAGACTCAAGCCCTAGACAACTTGAGACTGCTAATATGATAAACAAATAGACTACAAACAACTAATGGAATACTAACCAATAGACTGATAAACTGATAGACTACTCATATGATAAACACTGACGTGAAATTCTTAATAAACTACGACAAACGTAGCCACGATAAGTTCTCAAGAAGAAAAATATATAAATGATCAACCTAAGTGAGTAACATTGTGATAAACTTGAAGAATGTCTCACAAAAGATAGAGAATGAGAAAACAAAAAACTGACAAACTCCACTGACAAACAACTAGAAAAATAAAATTTCGGTTGCGGATTAGTGCTTGTCTGTGATCCTTACAAATTCATGTTTCCTCGTCTGAATTTGCGAAGTGCAAGTGTACGCCAACTGAATCAACTTTTTTTCACTACTGCTACTGTGAGAAGTAGCTATGGTGTATGTTTCCGTCTCATTGTATTTGTGTCCTTGTATTTTTATCTATGCACTACACTTTAGCTTTCAGCAAACACTAACTAGGCCAACAACAAGTCCACCTGCCACCATCACGGCACGTGGAGGTGCCTATTTGGCAGAAACTGTTATCGGCAGACAAACAACAAGCCCCCGTGAACAAAGCACTATATTTTCAACGGAGCTCTTGCATACAAAAAAATGTCACTTGTTAGTTGATGCTAGAAATTCACGACGACTAACATAGAAAGCAGACACGTAGACATGGGCAGATGGGCTAATGCATAAGCACTCGTTACAATGCATTCCTTTCTTCCTATTCACCTGGCTTCATAATAACTTGCTTACACATTCATCAATTAGCACGAGACTTGTGCACTTCACTACGAGATTAACCCGCCACAGTGGTCTGGTGGCTAAGGCACTCAGCCGCTGACCCGCAGGTTCGCGGGATCGGATCCCGGCCGCGGCGGTCGCACTTTCGACAGTAGCGAAAATGGTTGAGGCCTGTGTGCTTAGATTTAGGTGCACGTTAAAGAACCCCTGAGGTTGGCGAAACTTCTTTAGCCCTCCACCACGGTATCTCTCATAACTATACGATGGTTTTGGGACGTTAAACCCCAACAATTGTTATTACTATCAATATAAGATTTGTTGGTGAGTTACTGCTTATACAAAAGTCCCAACACACTTGTGCACTTTGCCTGAGAAAACATGACCTCCAAATAAATGTTACTGTGTGCAGTAGCTCTTCCAACATACACCTATACATCTATACCTGTACCTTATACATCTATCCACTAGCTTGGAGGCACCGTGCCCGAACATAGCAGAAGTTTACATTTGCGGCGGGAGCCCACATTCTGTAAACTTTTGCGGGCAGGTGCACACAATGCTGCGGTACTTGATTTGATTGATATGTGGGGTTTAACGACCCAAAACCACCATATGATTATGAGAGACGCCG